CTGATTGCTCAATCAGTTAGAATTGATCCCAAAGAGGCCAATTTCTTAAGGAAAAAAGATAAGGAAGAGTAGTGGAGTCCTTCAGTTTCAGCAGGCGATAGGATAGTTTTGTCCCAACTTTTTCCTTCTACTTGAGCTGTTTGTAAATAATCTTCCAAGCCCCTTGGACGTATTCTTGCTGAGTGTGAGAGTTTTCCTGATGGTGCATTTATTTGCCTGCTAAATCATCAATCTAGCCAGCTCACATCTGGGCACTCCACACACAGATTCTCCAAGTTTCCTGTGTCTTTCAGGATAGGCCATCACTTTGAACATGATCTGAAGTGATGATAAGCCCTTAAGTCTCTCTCAGTCAGTGCTCAAAAAAAGTCTCTGAACCACGAATGTCAGCTCTTTCCCTACAAAATCCCCTAAGTTTGTGTAAACTGCCAGTGAGATCAGAGCAAAAGAAAATAATGTTCCATCAGACTGCAGGTAATACTGGATTAGAGGAAGCTAGCTAAAGAAAGATATTTTGAAGAATAATTGGAGAAAAATTAATTTCTCGGTGATACTACACTGTTACTGGAGCTACCAGTGAGGTTGGGCATTTACCTAAAGTGAATGAGAAGTATTTTCTCTGTACCTGTGTTACCAATTTCACAATGTCAAAGTTTGAGGGCCCTGAAGGAGAATCACAATCCAATCTCCTCAGTATAACAGAGACCAATGACTTGTTCAGCTTAGATAACCAGCTAATATCAGAAACCAAAAGCATGCAAGTTTGGTTTGGTCTTGCTTCCTTGCCCTTTGTATGGTTCTTTCCCTATTGAAAGCAGAAGCCAGAGAGAAATCCCAGAAAGCCAGCCATCTGCTTGAGTTCAGAAGGCCCAAATGTGGACTCATACAGTGTGGGTTCTCCAGAAAAGTTCTCAAAATACTAACATAATTTGAACTCTTTAGTGCAATGAACATAGTAAGCAGTGCTTTCTTAGAAGAATACTAACTGCCTAAATAATCATAACTTATTCTATAAGTAGCTCATGCATTTTGAGAATAAAAGATGTTTCAAAACTACCAATATCTAGCTTTACTGGAAGATAACCCCAGGCAGAACTAGTATTTTGCATCCTAGGGGGCTTTTTGCAAGATGAAATTCACTAGTTACATATGATTTATTAAAGTTTCTCTAACATCTCTTTCCCTTTTAACAGTAGTACCAAACAGATCTGTCCAATATGCAGATTTCTGTAAAATAGAATCACATACTTTTTGGTTTTTCTTTACATTTTAAAGAACAATAAGATTAGCAGCTATAGTATTAAAGAAGTCAGCAAGCTATTTTTAAAGGATAAGCACATCCACGAGACACCCAAACACACATCCACTATGGACATGGAGTTTAGACACACAAAACCATTATAAAAACATGAAATATAGCTGTTTTAGTTGAAAGATATTCACACATTCTAAGCTAATTTTTTTTTTTTTTTTGGCCTCTTTTGCTTATGTACTCACATCTGGAATGGGGGAAAAACAACTTCGGGGGACATCAATCGCATACTTGGTAATTCTCAAGTGCTCCACATACCTCTGTTTGGGTATGTATTATTTAACCCAAATATAAGAAGAAAATGGAAACTACGAGAACCTGCTCGAGGTCACAGCTAGAACTGAACCCAGATCCTCTTAAGTTTGGGCTCTTCTCACAAAGTGCAGTTTCCAGACCCCCAGTGTCTCCAACTCTCTCAGATGGTCTCGGGAGTCAGCGCTTTTTCCTAGACGCCACTTGCTTTTCCCCATGCTCACATCTGCACCGATGGCACAAAAGCAATGGAGGGCAGAGCTGCTGGCAGCTTAGCCTGAATCAGGCAGTGGCACCCAACTTTACAGCCATTGCATTATTCACTGCCATTTACTCGCAATACAAACACTGCCAGTTTCACTCTGAAATACCCTTGAAGCAGTAAAAATGAACAACTTATGAAAGGGCAACCCCTGACTATATGTATTTTAGCACTGGGACAAAATGGGGAAGGATACATAAAGCACCTCAACCCTGGTTTCCCCTGCTATCTAACAGAACGTGCCTATGAAAACTTTCCTAAACCTACATGACAAAAAAAGCAAAGAAAATTTACATGGGAATAAGTTTGAGAGTCCCCAGACCCTCAAAACAACCTGCTCAGTCAAATCAAATAGCACTAAGTTAACACTCACATAAGCAGTATGACACACAACCTGTATATAACTCCTGGAGAGCTTGGGGTGTACTCCTTTGGGACAATTGCTGCAAAACAAATGCTGAACACTGGTTTCACTTTTTGCTCACCTTTTCACCTTCTGCGGAAGTGGTGAGATGTCTGTCTCTTTACGTTTCTTTCTGACAAAAAAACAGGTAAGCTGTCCGTCTTTGTAAAAGAGCTTTTGAAAAGCAGTGAGTACCTTCAAGAGGTTGCATCAGAAGGAAAGTACTAGTGCACTACTTACGTACAAAAGTAGCCATTTTTTAAAGACTGAACTTGAATAACAGGTCAGCAATGGCTTTTCAGACAAGTATTTTCTCAAAACTCGTGGCATCTGAAAGAAAACTGTCACTATTTGTTGCCAATGATACAATTTCAAGCAAAATGTAGACATTTTGGAGATTTACATCCATCACGAGACTTTTCTGATGAGCCTGGTTTTTTTAATCAAAAATAAACCTGAGTTTTTGATGATATAGAAATGAAATGATTTGGAAGACCTGTATCATTCAGTTAACCAGTGCTTTCCAAATGACCGATACAAGGTATTATATAATCACACATGGGCAAAATGGACCCTTTCTTCACACATTTAAATGATTAAATGAGCTAGTGGGTTTTAATGTTTTAAAGTATAAAAATTCAATTGGTGGAGTTCCTGATTCCACATTTCAGCTATCTTTTATAGGTTTTTCTTATCACTAAAAAAACCTTTAAAATGTTAGAGGCTGCAGCCCTCCCTGGTGGTGCAAAAAGTTAAAGTGCAGCACCACGAAGTTGGCCCCAGCATAGCCACTTCAGCACAAGTTGGATCCTCTGCCAAGGAGGTGACCCACATAGCATGGCAGACGCTTCCTGTCTCACTGTTTCCCCCTCAGCAATGCATTTCGTCAGTCTGCTCCCTGTTTGGTCGCTGGTGAATCCTCTCACCACCCCTGCACACCTGGCCAGTACCCCAGTTGTGTGTGCATAAATAAATAAATCTTCTTTAAAAAATAAAATGTCGGAGCTTAATTTTCTTCATATGCTTCAACCAAAACAACATATCACACCAGGTTGCATGCAGAAGTAAATTTGAGAATCTGTCTACTATTATGCTCAATATTGAAGAGATTTTAGAACTATGAAATGCTTCTCAAATATTACTGTGGAAAACAGTGGTTTTCCATTAAGAATGTGAAATTACATCAACCTGTAATGGGACCACCATTTTTTAAAGTGAATCACTACTTTTATTATTTTAGCTTCTAATAAATATCAGACATAATCCACATGAACATAAGCGCCCCTGACTAGATCCTCAATAATTTCTAAGCACATAAGTTGCCCTAAGAGCAAAAAATTGAGGACCAATGCATTGTATCATGCTGCCATTAATATTTCAAATAGCAGAAAAATTCTCTGTATAGCTACTTTGCTAAAATTTTAAAGACTATCAGGAAGTGTCCTAATTATTGTTATTGGTCAAAATGTGTTCAGGAAGCCCTAACCTGTCATCACATGTACTAACAAAGGAATCCCCTGAAATAAAGTACTGTACAGGAAGTTCTAAGTTTTAAGTAAACTAAAAAAAGCACTAGTCAAATGTGCAGGAAAATACTAGAATTAGAAAAGAGCTCCACCTATCTGAAATTATTTCAACCAGGACCTCCATTGATGCTTGAGTAGGATGGTGTCTTGTTAGTAGCAATAGGTGGCAAAACAAACATACTCCCTGACAGCTAAAACGGAAGTATTTTCAATTAGTAATAAAATTACACTTGACATTAAAAAAAAAGGGAAACACCTACATCTATCAGTAACGTTTTATGACATTCATCATAGCAGGAAGACATCAAGTTTAACTGAAAAGCAGCCTTTTCCATCAGGATATATCCACTTAGCTTTCAAGTTAGTATTAAGTGTGATGAACCAGTCACTTGGGTTGGAAGATGACAGCAAGAAGTAACCGCTCACATGCAAAGATGAGTTCTACTTTCTTCATTGCCATTAGAACAGGGCCACCTAGGGGCAAGTGGGAATGGCATAGGTACTTGTTTCTTCCAGGAAGGTTTGTAAGTGGAACAGTAGGAACAAGTTTCTATAAAGTGTGCTTGAATATCCTTACTTTTTAAAAGACTTACAATAGTCTACAAAATGCTCAGCATTTTTTGTTACGGTTATTTGATCAGTCAAAAATATCCTACAAATAAGTCAAATTCTGTCTATGTCGAAACGAAAAAGCCAATTCAGAAAGAGCCATCTGCATTTAAGTGGGATGCACAAAAACACAGAAATGGTGACACATCTGGGATTCTGGCATTAAGGATAAGAATGGCAAGCAGGACTTCGGATTTTCAGTTAGGGTACCATTAAACAAAATTATCTTCACATGAGTCATGAAAACTGCTACCCCATAATTCAATAGACTTGTACTCTTAAAAGACACATTTTACACACATATCCCAGAATGCTGTAGAATAAGGTAACAATATCACTGAACTATACACGTTGAAGTGGGTGAATATGTGTGATATGTGAATTATCTCCCAATAAAGCTATTAAAGCAACAACAAAATTGTCCCAGGTGGTGAGGCAATCCCAGTTCCTGGCGTGCTCAGGGATATTCACACATTACAGAAATCAGCTGGCAACGGCTGGTCTCAACTAATGTTCTAAAAAGCAGGAAGATGTTTGCTACTGAGATTAGACTCCTTGGTGCCTAAACTTTTCTAATATAACTTGTATTAGACAAATCAATAAGAATACAAATAAAAAGTCACATACTTAGTTCCTTTAAGCATATTTAATATTTGAACTCTCATTTTCTATTTTCCCAGACCCCAGAAAACAGAAAGGTTTTAGATGACCAATATTTTGTTCCAGAAACATAGAGCCTTATCAGCTAATTCATAAAAGAGCTATTTTACAAAGGTACATCTGGATAATTAGAACAATAAAGTCTTTTAGGCATTTCAAAATGTGATCAGTAAAAATACATGATTATTAATAAAGTTTTTTAAAAGATAGTTCCAGATTTTTTTTTTAAAAGTAATTTCTGTTAAAGAGTACATGATTGTATGGTGAACAAGGAAATAAAATGTTCTAGTAGGAAGAGGCTTATTAAAAATAACCAACAGTGTGCACACTACAGTTATCACTTTGCAGTGTATCTGCTTAGCAGTTGGCACCTGGAAATGGCAGACAGGGCTTCCTTCTAGGAGGGTCATTATTTTTCTACCAATTGTCAAAGCCATCAGTATCACTGGGGAAGGCTTATGGAATAAGGCAAAGGAAAGAACAAATTTGCACATCACTTTGTAAAGGGGTGGAAAGTCAGAAGAAACGTGATTTATAAAACAAAAATGACAATAATATTGGGGGAGGTGGGGTGTGGAGTAGCCAGTAGAAAGCTGACTGGAAGGTCCTGCTTTCCATTCCAAGGGCCTCTGTACACACCTCTCAATGGTTCTCTGTGACACACAGGAAGAAAATATTGACCGTGAGGGATGGGGGAAATATTGACCAAAACTCTAGTATCTCAAAATAATATCATATGCCACCCTCAGGGAAGGGAGCTTCCCTGAGAAACCAAGAAATGTTTTAAAGGGGACCTAACCTTTTTAATAGTCATTTGAAGTCATTTCAAGGAAAAGAAAGCCAAAGACGCTTATGAATCCACCTCCCACACCCTAATGTAATAAAGAGTTACTGGATTCTCAAAGATAACTCAAACAGTCCAAGTGAGCTGATTTTAAAGTATGCAAAACATATGGCTTGTAGGGCAGTAATCATGATTTTAAATTACAGCACTTTGGGCCTGGCTGATTTGCCTTGATTAATTCTGTCCTCTGAAAAGGAAGGAGAGACTCCAAATGTAATTTGCCATCTAATAGCAAAGGAGCCATTAGGCCCAGCGAGAGAACAGGGTCACGGCAGGTCACTCCCACTGCTACAACCAGCTCTCCTGTTCTGGGAAGGCCCTTTGTCTACCCCCTTGCCCACTCCCACGTGGAAGTAGGCTCTACTTTCTAATTCTGTAACTTCAAAACAATGCTTTGATGGTAACCAGTGTCACTCAGATAGGATGAGTATCTAATTCCATGTTGAAAGATAGTGTCATATGAAATGGATGTGAGCATAATGTCCAAAATGAAACAAAACGGGTGGAGGGCCAGGTTGGAATAGAAGAGGAAAGAAGTTAGGCTGCTAAGATAAAAACACTTAAAATTGGGGGAAACTTTTCAGAATTAGATTTTCTTTGAAAAATCTCAACATGAATTTATTTAGAAGTACTAGAGTTATGGTCCAATAATTTTTTTCCAGTTAGCCCTGTTATTGTTCCAAGAAGTTTAACTGCAAATAGAGAAAAGCAAATTGTGCTAGATGAGATTCTGGCTGAGCTAGAAGAAAAACCAAAACTTTGCTAACTTAGAAAGCTCCTTAATTGAGTGCCAGAGAATTATGTAATTACCCTGTAGTGTCTGAAGTTAACACGAAAGTTCTATTTATATTTACCTTTCTCCTGATTAATTGCCCACTGATGGCATCAGTGTGAAGTGGCTACAGGTGCAGCCCTTTGAGTTGGGAGCAATTACATTACCCAGCAGCACTGTGGAACCATTTGGTTTCTACTTGCTTCTCTTAAGAGATACAGAAAATTCAAGTTCCAAGCTTCATTTATATATTAGCTTCTGCTTCTAAAAATTTTTAAGTCCATTCTGATTTACTTGGCCTAGGACTCAAAATATAACTCTAATTTACAGATGAGGTCCAACGATCCAAACCAGATCAGTTTTGGAAAGACACAAACAAGAATCTGGACATAGATGTGCTTGCTAAGTTGTAGTGGTGTTTACAAAAGAAGTTGGGAACTTGTCATTGGTAATGAGGGGGAGAATATATATTTATGTATATATATCAGACTGCAGGAAATATAATAAAATTATATCCTGTTTACCCAGAGTTCAGAAGGTACTACTGAAAGATATGAGCAGTAGATGAACTCCCTGCACATTAAGAAAATTTTAACATTTGACAAATAATTTAGTTTTAGTTGGCAAAATTACTCCAAAACATGTACTTGAAGCACGAAGAAAACCACAGAAAGCCGATAAAAGTGAAGGTGTCCTCAAGTCACAATTCTGAAACATTCGTCCTCTGTGGGGTGCTGCCAAGACTACTACCCACCCCGAGCAGGCGGGTACCAACACCTTGCCTGCAGGGTCCAGTGTATGTTCTGGTCTGCAATTTTTAAGGTCAGTCATGCCCCGGTGTGGAAAAGCGCCAGCAGTGAATGAAGTCAGAGGAGGTGCTTCTGGTGTTGGCTTGAGCAGCTCTGCCTTCTTCATCACACCTTTCTCCACTCCACTCTCGGCTCTCCTTTGTACTCACAGAGCCCTTTGGCACCATCAGTGCAAAAATCAGAGTCAAACCTCCAGGTACTAAAAGTTTACTGGCCTTATCATCAGCAATACCCGTGGCTAGTAACTGCCATTGTTCAACTCAGTAGTGATTCAATTAGATAACCTTCCCGGACTCCTACCCGCTCCCAGCCCACCCTTCGTCAGCAACCCACACCCGCCACCATCTGAAGCATCTCCATGTACTTGGTTTTACTTCCTGCTTGATCTGCAGGGATAATTTACACAAGTGCCAAAGTCTAATGAATAATTATAAAAATGAAATAACATCAAGAATAACAAATTTATAATCAAGAAAATAAAATTTGCTTTCCTCTCCCTCCCAAGTCCCAACCCTCAATAGAAAAGAAGAAAACACACCCATTTTCAAGTGCCTGCTATTTAGTACATTGAGGATTCCTGTTAATTGGGTTGATCCCAGTTACAAAGAAGAGGTGCTTGCCTCAGGTGGGGGGCTGTCCACCTAATCTGACCACCTGGGAAGCACTCAGTGCCAGTCCTCTGCAGATAGGAGCCTCGGGCATACCACACCTTTGAGGTGACCCACAGAGAAACAGCCTATTGGACAGCAGAGGCATAGAGTACAGTTTAGTGAAGACAAGATGCTCCCCCCACCCTCTTCTCACTTCCTCCTCTTCATCACCACTCTCCCCAACTTCCTAATACCCCATTTGAACTCTGCTTCAGGAGCAACTGATCCTTGGGTGTACAAAATACAAAGGGCTAAAACTCTCACTATTCAAAACAAAACATGGCAAAAAAAAAAAAATTAAAATGTGCTTTCAAATATGGAATGAAGTCAAATAAATACAACTGATTTTCTCTTTTTCTTTAAGTCTAAGTAAAATTTCATATCCTACACCCAAAACTCTATACATTTGGTTTTTGTTCTGAATCAAAACGAATTTCCAATAGTGAGGAGAGCAGAGTGAGAGAATGGATTCCCTCACTGACAGACTAGTGCAGCTGCCACATTGTGAAGAACTAGTCCCACTATGGGCACCCTGGGACACGGCTAACCCCAGAGGGGTTCACAGGCAGGTCCTCTGTCACACATTCTTTGTGTCCACACTGCAGCCAGGATGTAGTGATACAAGGTCGAAGCTCAAAATCCAACAACCTTCAGTCACCTCCTGGACAGGCGGCTCTAACTTTTATCTGAGAAGAATAAAAACAGAAAAACATCAAATTAAGAATAAAAAATTAACAGTGTGAAGAGAACACCTATGAAACCTGGGGTGTAGTTGTATCTGTGCTTCTAAGTCAGAAGAGTCTCATCTGAAAGCATGTAAGCCAATGTGTGCAACTGACGTACTGAACACAGGTCCATTTGCAGTTACTGTAGAGACACACAGGACAGCAAGACCTGACGAACACCAAGCCCCCCATCCATCACAGTGACACCAGCAAACCTCACCCACGATCCAGGGTTTTACCAGGCTAACCACTGGTCTGCCTCCTGCTTTTGCAAAGGTAAAGCAAAACAGAGAGGGGAGATGGTGTGGTGAGTGACAACTGCAGTTCCTCTTAGCCAAGGAAGAGCAGCGTCAGCAGACAAGACTCTGCTTGATATATGATGTTTGGGAACAAGTAGCTTTTTAAAGACAGAAAAGAAATAGAATCTCAGAAGGCTTCCACTTTTAAGAATAATAAATCATTTCAGCCAAGGCACTGTTCAGGCAAGATGATTCCAGAATCTGGAATCTACAACTCTCACCTACCTGAGTGTTTGTCTGTGAGGGCTGATCCAGCCAGCCTTTGGCAAAGAATGGTGTAACTCTCTTCTACTTTCTGTAAAATAAAGCCCACATGTTTTTCACTTGAACATCACAAAGTTTTTTTTTTTAAATAGTAAAGAAAGCTTTTTCATATCATAGGTACATGCTTCAAAATTTCAACATCAACAGCATTAAAATTTTTGTTATTGGGGGGAAAAATTCTATTCCTTTCCCCTCATTCTCTCTGGAGTGAATAACTTACAGCTTTCCCATGTAAAAAGAAAGAGGAGAGGCAATAGGTGATTCTCCTACCCTGAGGAGTTACCCTGAAAACCACCCACATGTGGCACGAACTCTCCAAGAGCCAACATGCCCACCGGGTCTTCTGGGTCTCTCATCTACTCAGCCACAGGGTGACACTACATGCAATCATGTGAAGGAGGAAAAGCCAATCACATGAAGTTAAGAGAAAAACTAAGGGAGACCAGCCTTTATTTACTTAACAAGTTAAGAATACTTTTCATTCTGTCCCTATAGCCTCCAACAAAATGATGCCATGAAAGAAGATGTGCTCTAGCATCCGTGTCTACTGACGGCCGGCAAATACCAGGCCAGACAGAAACTGCCACACAGCTCAATTCTGAAACAGTGGCTAGTACAATGACATTTTCAATTACCAATTAACAAAAATCCCATTCATGTCCAGGTTTTTAGATTGTGGTGGTGACAGGAGCTAATTTCTACCTGGGAAATCATCACCATCACCAAATTATTCACAGATAATTAATAGGTTCTAGCATTTCCCAGCCTGGGATCATAACTATGCAAATCCTACCTATCATAGCTTATTGTTCACAGCTTCTCGTAGAGGACAGTCAATCCCCCAAAATATATTTAGGTTCTTAAACTCAGAAACCCACATCAACAGTTTATAGAGCTACTGCATAACCACACAATGTTGACCTCAGCTTTTTACCCAGGCCTATTCCTGGATTATGGTTGAAGGGCACATACAAATTCAGAACCTAAACAAGCTGATGAGTATCAGCATTTGAATCATTCTATACTACTTCTACTTCTCTGCGAAATGTGTTTCTAAAAACCAAGTCCTAAGGATACTGAAGTCTGAAGTACCTTTAAGTGTTCAAGGTCAGCCTCTATCTTACGAATATACTCCATGATCTGGCTCTGTGAATCTGCACAAGAGGAAGGACTCTGGACTTCAAAACAGGAATCCTCCATAGCTCCCCAGCGCTGCTGGGCCAGGAACACTGGGGTGAATGGTGAAACAGCCCCATCAGAATGAGCATTCTTGGGAGACTGCTGGTGCTGGTGGGCAGAGTCCGTGGAGGGGAGGCCTGTCAAGTGTTGTGGGGGAAGGGAGGTGAGGTCATCATCCGTGGAGCTCTCCTGTACTGTTTCATAGCCGTCGAGGATCAGAAAGTTTCCTATTGAAGAGACAGAACAGTCTAGTGAGGTCAGTACTGGTCCATCACAAAGGAGATGGAATGAGACAGGGTAAGGCAATGATGACTTTAAATGCTTTTAAAGGGATGGAAAAGCTACCACTTTCCAAATTCTCATGTTTCATTCCTAGTATATGAGCAATTTCTCTCTTCAGGTTAAAGTTAAACTTAGCAAACTTCTACAATAATATATGAATAAATTCATATAGCTTTTTAGTATTTAGAAAGTTAACTTTTAAATAGGTTTTTGAATATAAAAAAATTAATTTTAAAACAGCAACATCCCTATAAGGTCCTGTCTCTACTTCCCCCGATAAACACCTCTCTTATCTCATCGTCTACCATATTTTTCTTACCCTGTATTCCTTAACCACACAAAAATATGATCTTGCTGCATAGCCTGTGTGCTAGTCTTCTCTGCTGGAACACTTGGCTTCCAGCTATTCATGGAGTACCTCCCGTCACCCCTCTGTTAGAATGCTGCCTCACATAGGCCCTCTTGATCACCTTGCCTACTCCCATTACTCTCTGCTCATTACTCTCTGCCCACTAATCTATTTTCCTCCTAATACATTTTACTGTTTGACATCTTATCTACCATTATTCTTTCCTAACTAATACTGAAGCTCATAAAAACTGGGTTTTTCTGTGTTTTATCCAATGTAATACCTAGCACCTAGAATGGAGTCTGGTACTGAATAGATTTAGTAATTATTTACTACATGAAAAATACAAAACACACACTCACCTACACACAATACATTTAGATACCAAAAATCATCCATTTCAGCACACAGGACACTTAACAACAATCAAAATCAAAGTATGAATGGGAAAGGAACTTGCCTGAGATGCGTAAATTAACATCCTTCTCTTCCTTTTTAGCTGCTCCATCACCTTCTGATGGATTATCATCACTATGTGCTTCACGGGCATCAAAAAAGTGCTCTCCACTCTCATCAAGACCCACTTCTGGCTCTGCAGGAGGCATCTCTGGGACCATAAGCATATGGCCCGTTACTAAAGTATTACTTGCCTGGCCATCTTGGAATGCCAGTGCTACTGAATCTCGTGAAGCAGATGATTCAGTAGAAGTCCGTGGACTATAACAAGTTGAAATGTCACCAGTTCCAGTTCTGAAGGGCATCTGTCCTTCACCAGGGTGATAGGCCTTAATGTTTTCAGAGTTCTGGGTTTGACCATCTGCCTGCTCCTCTGGAGAGGCTGTCCTGTGTCTGGGGAAACGTGGCCAGTCTTCCTGAGCACTCTTCTCAGTTAAACCCAGCTGCTGTACCAGCAGCTGCTTCAACAAACCCACTAGATGATTTAGGAAGAAAGAAAAAAGAAAGTCACAATTATAGCCTCAGATAGCCATAATTAAATTAATAGAATCACCAATTATCATTATTAAATATCTTTTTCATAATTTTTGTCAAAATATTAATTTTTGCACAACCGTCTGTATTGTTTGTTTGAGAAGTAAAACAAAACGCCATTTGGGTAAGATTTAACATTAAACCAGACTCGAAAAGATCTAAGGCAGTAATCCTGGTTAGAACTGCTCAATAACCAATAAATACCATGGCTGCCTATATTTTTCTTTCCACGTGACTAGAAAAATACCCAAAGGAACTTCTTAAGGATGCTGCAAAGCTGTGGTAATTCTGACCAAAAAAAAAAAAAAAAAAAAAACACAACTGCAAGTTCTGCTTTTTCCAGAAGCAGATGCACATACCAAGGCATTCTTTTTTAAAATTTTATTACACACAGAGAACATTAATTTTATCATTTATAATAACCCACAGAATCTCCCTGCATGGTAGAGGAAAAATAAAGCTGCATAGTAATAAAATTTAATTTCAATGATTTGATGGCATGTATAATTTCAAAAGATAAAGAACATTTTAGTAGTTTTGAAAAAAATGACCTTGGCAGCACAGCTTCCTTAGGTTGTTGAAAGAGAGCAAAGTTAATTTGAATAGAGAAGTGTAAGCTGTGAGGTCACTTGCACAATGGTAAGAGTTACTGGGACTTTAGTCAAACCATTCAAAATAATGGAGTCTGTTAATTCAACAGAATTGAGAATAATTTAGGTTTTAAAGACCTTGATCAATTTCTTCCTTTCAACTCTACCTTAACTTCTCTCCTGTTTCTTAAATTATACAGTCTCCATACAAGCCTGGGAGGTTTTCTATCATCTTTACAATTAAACTGTAAAATTCTTGCTATGAAGTCACAACTGATACTTCTTTGGCTTCTCCCCACATGGCTACAGTTGTGCACTACACAACTTAGCATGTGTCCTAACTTAGGAATAAAACTTACAATTCCTTAGTGCATCCAAGGCCCACCGTTCTTCTGAGACAGGCAAATGTGGATCTGGGATTGTGATTTGATAATTTATTCCAACTTCCTTTAGAGTCCCATCTTCATGTTGCTCTTTTGCAAACTGTCTCTCAGTAGCAAAGAGGTCATCTACCTCCGATTTTCCAGAGGTGTCCAGTGAATGCGATTGAGGTTTGGATGATATTAAGGGAGACACTAATCCCAAATCTCTCTCTGTTCAGTGGGACAGAAAAAGTAGAATGTATCTTTTAAAAATAAGTACCTTTAAAGTTTTAACATTAAGGAAATACTTGGCAGGGAGAGGAACAAGTGCAGGAGCGACAGACATTATTTGTTAAGGGAAATACATAGAACTTAGAACAACGTTGTAATGTTGTAAGAGAAGGCTGATAAAGTGGAATTTGTTAGAGCAGATCATGCCAGAAACTTAATAAACCAAAATGAGTGAAAGTGTCTTTGCATTTTAACATCTAATTACAGACCACAGTCTTTCAGGTAAACTTAACAGATCAGTTTACCTGGACTCTGTATACCAGTGACTGAAAGACCATGATGTTCTACTTTTAATTTTGGAGGTTCTTCTTCATCATTGTCTCCTCTATTAAAAAAAGAAAACAACCTTTCAGCCTCATGAAGTATCCAAACATTACTGCAACAGAGAATTATCCACTTCTTTTCTGATCAACCCACAAAGTAGTCCTAACACAAGTAAAGGTACACTCACTCGCACGGTGATGACTGCGGCAATGGGATGGGCTTGGTGGATTGCTCCTTCACTGATGCAGCCATCCGACATATTAGGTCCTGCCACCTGGAGGAAGTTTGAAAGGAAAACAAAATACAAAAGGAAAAGGAAATAGACATGCCCTTTAAATACACTCTGAAAACAGCAGTAAAAAATAATAAGCTAGACACCAACCAAACACAAATTCTACTTCTATCAGAGAATATGTTTACTTAGACAATATACTATTAAGCAGAGATTATAAAAATACTCTATGCCTTAAAGAAAAACCTAGTAACATTATGAATACCCTGCCCATTAAAAACTTTACTTGGTGCTTCTGAGAAACTTTTCTTTAGATAAGGATATTCAGTAGAACAGAATCGCACTAAAAGACATCAATTCTAAAAAGAGAAAAAGTTCTTAGAACATCTAGAAAGAAGACAGAGTAAGTGCTTGTTTCTACCCAGTTTTTGATTTCCATAGTTATATTACAAAAACAAAGCTAAGTTTATGGACTATTATATTTGGGATAATAAAAATGTTAGAGCTGCATCTAAGTACATACACAGTCTTTTCAGAAACTGTCTGTGCCACCAGTTCATAAATTTGGGCTCCGTTGTCTGACATGGAGATGACAAATAAAGCTTTGTTATCTGGAAAATAGAAAGCAAAAATTATCCCAACAATATTACCTACAGGGGCCAGTAAGGATGTTTCTGGGGTTCTGGTGTTACTTTTTATCTTTATATCTATGTATTCACTAGGAAACATGTTCACTTTATAAAAATCCACCAAGTTAAACACAAAATCTATGCAACTTGTATTTCATACTGTATTTAAAGTACTGAACTGAACACTATGACACTCTTGCATTTATTCTGAATTGCCCTTTTCCTAAACAGTTAATAATATTCAGTGGGTGCTGGAGACAAAGGTCATAAATTGATTTTGCCGTCATGGAATAAATAAGTTTCAAAAGGGATCTCTTTGTTAGTACAGTTAATATATAATCTGCTAACTTAAATGGTTTTCAAAAATCCCATACTATAGCTACCTCTTCAAGTGTTGCTCTTTTTTCTAAAATCACCATTCTAAAAAAATCCTTTTTGTTGGTATTACCTACCAATTTACTATTTTCATGGGTGTCTATCAATGATTGAAACATGTAATAAAGGCAAAAGTAACATTCAAAAATGTTTAAATGCAGAAAATGACTCAGAAAATTGGGGGCATCCTATATCCTTAATTCACTTTTCAAGCAGTGTTTGTGTTTTGATTTAATTTGTAGAAGAAAAAAACAAGACTCTATGCAAGTTGTGTTATCTAAACAACACTGACTATCTTATGCAACTTTACAATAAACCTAGAGGTCAACATCACCTGTTGCTACTTGTCGAACCAACACGGTATTCAACTTAATGACAGGGCTAAATGTGTGTTTGCTATCAGCTGTAGATGCCAGGATCTTACTATGGCACCTTAATACCAGTCTATCATCCTGCTTTTGTAGCAGGACAAGAATGTCTTCCAGCAGCAATGTGTATAAATCTAGGGGGAAAAAAAAAGAACAGATGATCAGTACAGATCTTGAGATTTGCTTTGTAAACTTTTCAACAATTCAACAGAGAAATGTTGTTTCTGTTAAATCTAGTAAGTTTAAATAACTGACTTGCTATTGTTTTTAAATTATCTTTTAATAATTCACTGTTATTATATTACACTAACGTATCAATCTATGACTAACAAAAAAGAAATTTGCTCACCACATAATTGAGAAGCAGTGGTCTAAAAGAAAGCTTAGACTCATTACAATACAAGAAAGATGGAGAGAGGACTGAGTCATGGTAAAGTTTTCTGCTTCACACTTCAAATATCAAAATAACCTAAGTAGATCTGCAAATGAGTAAGTAACACAAGGCAGCATTGTTAAACTGCTGAAATGAAAACTGTGAATGGTTCTCTTCTCTTTGGCATAAGAAATCTTTCTCATGCTTTTCTTTTTTCCATTCTCAACAAAACTGACAGACATTAGACCTACCAATAGTTTTATCTCTATTCACTTTCCAGACCAATGGTCCTTCATGAATCATCTTCCTTTTTGTTAAATCCAAATTCTGCCAAAATAAAGAGAATTTCACACAAATCATTCCAAACACTTCTTGAGAGATATTCTACATCATCTGATTTCAAGAAATTCTTATTATAAAAGACTCATTTATATTCACTATCATTATTATATCTTTCAACTATTTAAAAATGAATAAATACCAAGTTAAGTGGATACAAGTTTTCTAAAAAGGAAAATGTTATTTTTCCCAAAACACTGAGGAGTGTACTGGCTTCCAAAGCTCACTCTACAGAGGTGATGATAGCGTGTTAAAATGACGTTGCAAACACTCAACCATTAGGTTCTTAGTCCATCTCTTAATCTGTCTATGAATAAATAACTAGATGAGGATGATGCCTAACTCATCTATAACTCATCTATATAAAGGTCTGAGTTCCAAGGCTCTAGTTTCACAGGAGCTATTCTAAGGAATAGCACTCATGAAAAAATGAGCTTTCCCCACATGTTAATAACTCAGTCAGAGGACCATTTTTTAGTATAAGTAGTTCTAGAAAAATCTCATTCTCTAGAAGTGAAGAGGCTAAACACATCAGCAAGTCTATTTCAAAAGCCACCAACACAACTACCACCTATGGAAATAGAACAAGAAATATTTAAAATCCTAAAAAAAAATTCTCAATATAAAAATCCATGTACTAGAAGTGGTAACTAGTAAATCTTTCCTGTAATAGTTTCACCTTTTATTCTGTTGAAGAGCTTCAAGGAAAAACAAATTAGCTTGCTTTTTACTCAATAATCTAGAAAGTTCTCATAATAAATAGCCTTGATCATATTCAAATTATGGGACACAATTAAATGTAATAGTATTATTGTTTCATCTACTGCAAACTCCTGACTCAAAAAATTAGTTTTGCACAAAACACTGCTCTAATGAAAGACTAAAGTAATCTTTATACAAACCAGACATGTAAAAGAAAGGATAGAATCATAAATATAGACAAATCTAAGATATAAAAATTCCTTCAGGTACTATATGTTTTCACTGAGATGTTAATTACCTGTCAGGTCTTTAGTAAATTTTATTTTATTTTTAAATTATGATTAGACCATCTCTCACCCTGAGCTCTTCAACATTTGGGTACTCTGACAACTTCAGATTGGAGGTATCGAGGCGACGCTGATAATCTTCTAAGCGCTGGAAATTAGACAGGATGGAACCAAGGTTATTGCTTTGTGTGTCGATGACCTCCCTGTTTTACTAAACTCCCTGTGACATTAGACACACTAACAACTCACTGACTTTGGCTGTATTACATTTCCCCAGTTTTCCTCCTATCTTTTTGATATGTTTCTTCCTCAATCTTGTCAAACTCACTGGCCTCTCACAAGCTTGTATTTAGTTTTATGAACATGTAAGTCATGTACATGCTACAACTGGCACACAATAGCAAATAAATATTTATAAAAAGTGTCCCTCCAACCTAGTCCTCTCACCCTTCCAGCTCCCCATTTTCTTTAAAGAAGTAGGTATTTCTTGGGTAGCCTATGAGAAATATTGTAAGCAAATAGCATAAATGTGTATCTAAGTGTGCTTATCTCTATACATATTGTGTATATTCCCCTTTTTAAAAAAAGATAGCACAATATATTCATACATACATTACTCATTCAAATAGTAACAGAATAGATTCATATGCATTAATGATCACCTTCCCATGTGTGTTTGTGTAAGCATGTATATGCTGCTCATAAATACATCTTGCATAACGGTCCAAATTAGCACATATAGAAAGAGCTATCTTCTTGTTAATGGCTGTATGGTATTCTACTCTATGAATGAACTGAGTTATTTAACTACATCTTAGTAATAGTTATATAGATTACTTTCAATCTTCTATAGCAAATACTGCAGTAAAATAACTGTACTCAGAAGCTTTTAGATACATATACAGGATATATTTCCAGAACTTTAGATAAAAAGGTATATGCCACTTCCCCCATGATCATAAAAATTTCCAAATACAAAACATAGTCTAAATGTGGATAGAGACATCCACCCATATACCCACCACCTACATCCCACAATTAATATCTGCTACATTTTCTTTCTCATATAGCTATCCATTCATCTCTCTATCCATCTATCCATATTATTTTTGGAGACATTTCAGTGTAAGTAGATACAAGCATTCTTTACCTCTTAACATTTTGGCATGCATATCATACCCAACATTTGTTCATAGTTCGTTTTTAAGTAAAATTTACATAGTGAAATGTATACATTTTAAGTGTAACTTTCATGAGTTTTCACAAATGTATACATGTATGCATTCAACTCCTACCAGGATATGAAACATAAGTATTACTTCAGAATGTTCCCTTATACTTGTTCCTAATTAATACCTGTCTTTATATAACTGTTAACACTACCACCTATCCATTACTTTTTCTTTTCCTATTATAGGTTAGTTTAGCATGTTCTAGAATTACATATACTTTGATTATATGTATGGACTCTTTGTGTCTGCTTCCTTTCATTCAGCATAATATTTGTCATAGTCATTATACTGTGTGTATCAGTAGTTCAATGTATTTTATTGCTGCATTATTCTAGTTCATGACTATAGTAAATTTAATTTATGCTCTAGACATTCTTGTACAAGTGTATATTTTCATTTCTCTTGAGTAAATCAATAGAAATAGAATTGCTGAATCAAAGGATAGGTATATAATATGTCCATTTGTAATTTATATGACTATTGCCAAATTGCACTTCGTGCTTTACACATCAGATAATATTGATGTATTTGAAAGTATTTGTTTTCCTATTGCCTCCCCAACAAAGTTGCAATCATATCAGTTCTTAAGATATTGTATTGATATTCATGTATACAATTACCCTCTATGACCTCACAATCTTGAATTTTTTATCTTAAACAGTCTTCGTAGAGGTTACTTTACATAGCCAATTGTTTGGTGTACACAGTCACCCAATGTTCCAAACTCAACCTCTTCCTCCTCCTCACAAATCTGGGGCTTCCCCTCTCAGGTCCATCTAAATGTGCAAGCCAGGGGTTTATTCTTATCCATCATTTTCTTTAAAGCAGTCACTGCATCCTGTTAATTTTACCTTCTAAATATATTGCCAATTCTTGTGATTCTCTAAAACACCATTATCTATCTTGGATTTCTGCAAAAGATACCAAATGAGCTTTAACCTCCATTCCCTTCCTCCTTCAACCCATTCTCCAAGGAATAGTACCTCGGGTACTTACAAAATGAAAAATCTGAACATGCTATTCTAATACCAAAATGTCTATAATAAATTCCTACCACTCTTAGTATAAAAAAAATATTTAATAGTCTGCACACCCTGTAGGACTAGGCCCTGGCCTACTATCCCTTATTTTATATTACTCTAACTTTGTTTAGGCATGATCCACCCTATTCTCTCGTTTCAGCTCATCAAATACATATGCTTCCTTTCTTACCCCAGGAGTTTTGTATATGCTGTTCCCTTTATCTGTAAGATGGCCCCCTTCTATATTATTTTGGTTATTTATAATTATCTTTAAGAGCCTAGCTTCAATATCAGCTCCTCAAGGAAGCTGTCTCTGGTGGTCATTGCCTAACATGTTCAAACTAAGCTAGGTTTTCTTCCTTATACAGGCCTAAGATCCTGAAATTCCTCTTCACAGCAAGTGATACAAAATACTTGCACCATAAGGGACCTTCTGGTAGTACAGGAGTTAAAATCAAAATCTATCAAGATACCGCTAACCACTACGGCATGAGCTCAATCACCTTCCACGGAACTAACCTACATGGCACAGCAGAGCTCTCCTGTCTTGCCCACTGCTTGACTCAACAGTGTATCTCAGTAGATATGCCTGTCCTGCTCCCTACTCTGTCTCTGCGGAATTCTCTCTCTCCCTGCACCTCTAGCCTATAGCCCAATTCTTGTATGCATAAATGAATCTCTAGCAAAAAAAAATACTTGCACCATAATTTGTTCAATGACTTTCTATCCTACTAGAAAATAAGTTCACTTCAAGCAATTAATGTACTCATTTTCTTAACTACTCTACATACTCAGTACATATACATTGTAGAAGCTCTGTAAATATTGCTGATTGAATAGATGAAAGAATGAATAAGCAAACGAGCAGCTAGAGATACTCAAATACAACCCTAATGTTCGATCACAAGTTGATCTGGACCCATCTATTATGTGACTAGTTAACAAATGTCCTACCCTTCAATTATATAATGACAGTTTCAATTAGCATTCCATACATTCCAGGTAACACTAATTTAATATTCTATGTCATCCTATATTTTCTTGCTTTTTCCATCTCACCTGCTTGTTTTCTGCTTCCTTGACAGCCTGATTTACATAATTTAAGATCTGACGACAGTGATCAGCAGCTTTCTTCACCTTCTCCCTTTCTATTGGCCATTCTAAATAAGGGAAAGAAATAAAAAATAGAAAAAATCAGATAATGATCTTATTTTAACAGTTGTAAGGATACACTAAGACTGTGATTATATTGATACCGGAATAAAATCTCCAGTAGAATCTCAACTCAAGTAACTTTTGGACAAGTGAGACTTCTTATGATATAAATACTAGTGTTTAAAAAGAAATCATATTTGAAATCCCAAATCCAAGAAATTATACTTTACTTCATATATCAGGGCCACTATGTTACACATTCCAACGAGTGGTTCTTAGTCATATTCTAAACTATGTAAGTAGGAAGAACCCTCTCCTAGACTTTCACAGTATAGCCTATGAGATTGTGTCCACTGACCTGTTCAGCAGTATTTTTTGAATGGTAACACAATTCAAAATACTCCAAAGTAAGTTTCTTTGAATTTGAGATTATATTTAAAAAAAGAAAATTATAACATTTAGATTATTAAAAATGATGAAAATCACTAAAACATGCTGAGGTTATTATAATGAGGTCACAATGTAAAAAATGCCAACATCAGAATATGTATAACTACTATTCTCCAAGCAATAGTCCAATTTTATTGAGCAAATGTATTAAAGTATAAAAATTAATACAAGTGGTATAAACCACTGGGTACCAGGTACCATATTTTTAAGTTGTCCAATTATGCATTCAAATTAAGGTATAAGAAACAGGAGTTTGTACAGAAATCTGAATAAGAACTAAGTGTAAACTAAGTTGAGAAACTCAGATGCATTTCATGCTTCAAAACAGGATAATTAAATTATATTGTTTCAGTTAGGATTAATCAAAGTATACATTAAGTGGCTAGATACTTAGGTAGCTAAGCAGAGAAAGAATGGGAACATCTGTTCAACCAAGTATATGCCTTCTCCAAAGCAAGCATGATATATGCTACAGGAAACAGTGATAAACTTTTTCTGTAGAGTCAGATAATAAATACTTTACAACCTTACACACTAAATGATCTTTGTTGTAACTACTCAAACGGGCAGTGTAAAAGAAGACACAATGTCAACAAATTAGGGTGACTATGTTCCAAAAGACCTTTACTTACAAAAACAGGTCAGAATTAGGCCATGATGCATAGTATGTCAAACTCTATGTTAGAGCTACTAATGAAATATATTAAATCGAATTAGCCTGAAGAAAATTGGATTGAATCCTGTTATAAAATTTGGTTATATTATTTGGAAATTCAACTTCCAAGCACCAGAATGCTGTGAGATTATTTAGCATGTCACATGCCTAAGTTTTTTTTTTAAATCTCAGTGAGAATGCTATACCTGTGTATTTGGCAATATTATCCAACAGAAGAGGGTACTTAGTAAGCCTCTGCATTTGGGTGGGTATGATATCTTTCAGTTGCAGGCGACGACACAGTGGATTGCTCTCAGCATCCTAAAATTAAAGTGAAACAATTGAATTTGTATTTCTTATTTGGACTGTAATTAAATACATATTATATAATCATTATCAGTGCCTACACAATCACAGTTCTAATTGCTAAATGAAAACTTACCATTTCAACAACATACTTTTGTTTTCTCCTTTAATCAGAAAATGGGGGTGGGGACCCTTTATCACTAAACCTATGGCTTCTTTATCTGTTTAGGGAAGGATTGAAAAATTTGTTTTATCTTCATATATTCAGAAAATCTAGTTATATTTTCCTATGGGTGGCATGCCTACCATTTATATCAGGTAATTTATACAAGCACTATGCAAACTTTTCAGTCAAGGTCCAGGCAGTAATTATTTCAGATTTGACAAGCCACACAGATTGTGTTAGAACCATTTCACTCTGCTCTTTGCACAAAGGCAGCTACAGACAATACATAAAAAAGTGAACATGGCTATGTGTAGGAAACTGTTTTAACATGGCCTCCAACATTGCTATAGTGCAACGTACACACCCTATGTGAAAACCCTTTCCCTGGAGTGAAAAGAGCCCATGGATGTGATAGGATAGCCCTCCTGATCAAAAAAGAAATTGTGGTAGATGAATATGACTTCATCAGAGGAACCTTCAAAATAAATAAATGAATGAAGGCTCTATCAGAGAAACACATTCCTACTATAATATTCATTTTGTAAAGTGTCTGAAGAAGCCAGATAGCAGAGATGTAGACATTCTCTAGGAGCTGTGAATAGCTCCTAGTCAATAACAACTAGGACACAGAGATCTTAGTTACTATTTATAGGGAAATGAATGCGAATGAATGCGAAAAAGAGAAGAAAATAGAGTTTAGAGGAGGAGCACAAGCCTCAGGAGAACTGAAGCTCCAGTTGACAAGGTGATTTCAATCGGATAAAAGCATGAAAACAGAGCTCAGCTAAATGAATCTGCTGTTTTAAATCACAAAAATATGACATGATAAATCTTCACCGTTTTAAAAGTTGTCACATTTGTGGTAATTTGTTATACGAATACACTATGTTTCAATGAAACCTTGTTACAGGTAAGAGGTTGGACATGGCCTGTGAGCTCAAGTTTACTTGCCCTTGAGAGATTCAACCATGGACATCAGAAAGTGTGACTGTTGTGGGCTTGTTATAAGCCCCCACCCCATGGATTGACCATGTTGCTTTAATAACGTATGGAGGTCATTTCCTGACAATATCGCCACGGTAATATGGACTTCTGTGTCAAGTATTTTAATCTTGGCATAATATTTACTATTCATCACTCCAACAACATCCAGTAATTTAAGAGATAATGTACAGCTTTAAAAAAAATGTTAACAAAGATAAATCCTTGGAAAGGCTTAATCTTAGAATCCCCCCCCCCAGTTCATTTTATAATTGATGTAAAAAATTAGATTATTCCCCTTACATGACTCATTCAACTCACTTGCACAAAAGTCTGGAATCGAGAATCCTTTTTCTGACGAGACTTGATCATTTCCAGGGCAAAAGGCTGGTTGCTGCAAAAGGTGGCAGCTGCTTGTTTCAACTTCTCCTCGCCTGGGCCACTGAACTGTGCCAAGAACACAAAGAACACAATACAGAAGTCGGCACTGAGCCTGTGTATGGCCAGTCAGAGACACTCACACTCCTTTCAATATTCCAGTAAGTAATCTATGGTGACAACAAACTGACACCTGTGCATGTGTGTGGAACATCAATGCTTCTCCACTAAAAAAGTCTGAGTCGGGGCCTCCCTGGTGGCTCAGGGGTTAAAGACATAGGGCTATTAAGCTATTGCAACCACTGCAGCAAGAGTTCGATCCCTGGCTGACCATGGAGCTGACCTACATGGTGCGGCAGACCTCTCCTGTCTTGCCTCAGCAGTGTATTTCAGTACATCTGCTTGTTCTGCTCCCCACTCTCTCGGGTGAATCTTCTCACCTTGCAGCACCTCTAGTTTATAGAGGTACATCCTTGTATTATAACTAAATAAATCTTTAAAAATAAATAAATAAAATATCTGAATCTGACACATCCAAGATCTTTCCTTCAAAATCTTTTATTTTATTTCCTAAAAATCTTTTATTCCTTATAAAAGATTTATTTACTTTTGCATACAAAAATGGGGTACAAGCCAGAGGTGCAGGGGCAGTGAGAGGATTCACCAGAGACAGAGTGGGCAGGTAAGAAGAGGTCTGCCAAATCATGTGGATCACCTCTGGGGCTGGGAATTGAACTCGCACTGAAGCGGCTGCCACTAGCTTGCAATGCTGCGTCCTAACCCGTTATGCCACCAGCGAGGGCCCACATTCAGACCTTTTCTGGTAAAATTCCAAGGCCTTCTTGCTCATGGTCTACCACACTTATTATCCTTTCTAGGCCACTTCCAAATTACATAGAGAAATTAACATTTAGCGAATATGAAGACACCAAACTTGAAGATTGAGATTAAATCTTCATTCTCATAGAATCTGACACCTTCACACCTTACTTTGCTCTATGGTTTACAAAGAAACCTGTCATACAATCTCCCACTTAAGGTGACATGTCAAAAAATTTATACATGTAAATGTTGTATGAAAAATCCTTTTGTAGTACACATGTAGTTATGTTAAAAGTAACCTTTCTTTAACTAGGAACCAAAATGTAATTGAATAGGATGCTCTGATATTATATTCATAATCTATAGTAGATTTGACACTCAATATACTTACTATGAGACTGGCAGAAATTTTGATATGTTAAATTAGTCACAGTATAGCTGGGTTTAGAAAAGAAAGTGTCATCCCCAAACTCAAGCAATATTATAGTAATTTTCCCTAGTCAACTAGCACAGTGCTACTTATAAGGCAATGATACTAGAAAAATACTCTTCTAAATCATCTTTAGAGTAAATCTAAAGGTCTGTTTATGTTTAGGCTTTTACTATTTCTGATCAGTGCTTTGCTCTAAATTAACTCTCTGTACCTGTTACTGACAAAATTGGTTGGTCATTCTGTTTTTCCTCAACTTCTTATGGGTATATTACATGGATCAAAAATGCTGATTAAAAAGACACCTTTTGGGGGCCTCCCTGGTAGCATAGGGGTTAAGTCTCGGTGCTATTACCCCCCCCCAACCTGCGACAGGGAACTGACCCACACGAGGCACAGCAGACCTTTCCTGACTAGCCCGCTGCTCCCCTTAGCACTGCATATCAGTAGATCTGCCTGTTCTGCTCCCCACTCTGTCTCTGCTGAATCCTCTCACCCTCGCTCCCCCTGACCTACACCCCACTTCTTCTATGCATAATCTTTTTCAAAAAAATACATTTTTTGGCTCTTTAACGACTTTATTTTACTCTGTAATAGATCTATGAAGGCCAATGGGCTGTGGCGAGAGGAACAACTTCACTTGTAGCCCTTATTAGTAATGGGTCTCACTGGACACTTGGCGCTGAGCATTGTTTACCTGAGATAAGATGAAACTGCTTAGGAATCAAGAGTGATTATCAAGTGCATATAACTTACAATTTATTCCAAGCTTGACATGCAAATCAATGCTATACTATGTCAAACTATACATTTTCTGTTTCAAGTTGAGGAGAATGTTGCCAGGTCACCAGAACTGTTACAACTTTCATTACTACACTGAGATCAAGAAAACAAAATGACCCACATTATTAGAGAGTAGTTATAGAGAAAGTTAAACTTTTCAAGCACACTAATTCGCCTTAATAACAACGGCAGACTGGGCCTAAAGAAAAATGCTTTAGAAAATTGTGTGGAGGAAAGAAAAGACTGGGTTATGATTTCCTGATAATCAAGTGGCTAAGAAAAGATCTACTACTGAATTAGTAGGTGGTGGGCCAAGATCTAATCACTGTGAAAGAAGTAAGATGAAGATTGCCTTAGTCAACTACTATTTAATCTTTTATAAAGTTGTCATTGTAGAATTAACCAAAATCTGTGTCATTTCTTCAAGCAGTCTACATAGTAAAGATAATATCTAAGCAGTTCCTTTTCAAGCTATTAAGATTTCTAGAACCTCACTACGTATATTACTAGCTTTAACTACAGTACTTTCTTTTAAAGCTTGGTTAAACCCACTTTTCCTAGGTATATTTTCCATATGTTCTATATTGTTTCCTTACTAATTATTCCCATAACATATTCCCATAACATAACTATTCCCTGTACTCTCCCATTCTCAACACTCATCACACTTTTGAAATTGCTCTTGACAGTTTTTCCATTTGATTGTAAGGCCCACTATGGAGTAGAACCCATGTCTGACTTGATAGTATATTACCAGCATCTAGAGAAATGCTCGACGCATAAGTATAGATTGATAAAGAGTCAGGCAGAAAGATTAACAGAATTTGACAAACAGATACTATTATCTCAACTCTTCCCTTAAATTATAAACAAGTTAATTTTCACTTTTCTAATTTTATAAGGGTAGTTCTGGATCCACAATTGTTGAACAATGTAGAATTCTGAAAGTTAGACAATAGATGATATTTAAAATTCTACATCAGTTAAATTATTTTTATGAAGATCCATTTTATTTTACATTCTTCAGGACACAAAGAACTGTTTTTTTATGGAAAAAAAGCACTTGCTCTGGGAACTTATTCAAGAGAATACAAACTCTGAACCCTTTACATTAATTTTGAAAAAATGGATGAATCTGCATATTTGGAAAGCCTATTTACTTAATCTTGAATCTGATAAGCATCTATGAGAATACTGAAAAAATATCAAATTTCCTTACCCAGGTCAGCAAATCTTCCCCAATCTGATCAATAACAGAAGTCTCATTCCTCTTTCGAACAGCCTTCATTTGCTCATTCAGTCCAACTAAGCAGAGAAAAAAAAAAAAAAAGGAAAAAAATAAAGAATGCACTCACTGCAAAGTGAGCTACTGATGGTACCAAGGACCTGAACTTTCAAAAAATAATTTTCAGAAACTACTTTTAATCTCCTTTAAAATGAACATAGATATAGTTCTTAGATATCTAGGTAACTGTGAGCTCTATCTAAAAAAAATACATGCCAAAGCATAAAACAATTTGTAAGCTAGCACATTACACACAGTTAGGTGCATCAAATATACATTTAACTTCAAGATTCATCCGTCACTATATTTATAAAGAACTTAAATTTCAATAGTGCAGGTAATTCTGCCCACTGTTCCTCAGAAAATGTCTGTGTTCAGAGGCAATGGATGAATTCAAGTCTGAAATTGTTCATGTACGCTGGCGAAACCTAAGATCGCCCACAAAGTACATGGCATCAATCTGATCCACAGGTGTTGGTAGGTGGGAATGGCATCCTTGGGGAGACATCAGATATTATGGGTCATAGTGAAAAGGTAACTTTCAAAGAGAGGAACTAATACTACTGTCTACAAAAATCAAAATTGACTACACCAGAAAGTCAGTAAGGTGGAATTTTTATCTATTTATTTAAGTGTTCCAAGTAACAAAACAGTAAAATAATTGAATTCCTGAAAATTACCCCACCATGGGATTACTTACTGTATATGACTATTTATAAAATATACATATACATATATTACTATGTATCGTTGTATAATGGATAGAAAATTTTCAACCACTGTTTTCATATCTTGGATACTGGCTTAATCCTCTGTTTAACACTTCATATCCAGAAAGTTGAAAGTAGGGTATGGAGAGGTTCAAATATCCACCTATTTATTTATGTCAGATGCTCACATATTACTGTGTAACTTAAGGAATGCTACCTGGATACATTTACAAGATTTTACTTTTACGGTACATTTATGTCATTTTTAGCTACTGGAAATGTTAGGGACAAAGATCAGAGTCACTTTCTCTTACTGTGAAGTTGAAGAATATCTTCCAAGTTTGAAAAGATTTTCCGTAGTTCTGAAGGTGACAGAATTCCTTCTCTGGAGACTCGCTGATAGAACACCTGATCAAGAACCTTCAATGTTCGAACATGAGCTCTTTCGGTATAGAACAATTCTAAGCAAAAGAAGAGATATGAAATGTTTCCCTACTTAGAATAATTCCATGAAACTAACATAAGCATTAGCTAGAATTATGTAGCAACTAAGTTATATAATAATAATCTATAGTGTACAAAGGACATAGTTATCCTGAAGTCATTTTCAAATTCCTGATTCCATGAAACTCTCCCACATAATGGTTCTAAGAGTCGACTACTGGCCAATGAAAAACATCATTCAAAACTATTTTGTACTTAAAAACTAACAGTGCAGGGCCCTCCCTAGTGGCGCAGTGGGTTAAAGCACTGCACTATGAAGCTTAAGCCAATTCCGCATGCATGAGTTCGATCCCCGCCTGCCCCGGAGGTGACCACATGGTGTGGCAGACCTCTCCTGACCCGCCCGCTGCTCCCCTCAGCAGTGTACTTCGTCAATCTGCCTGTTCTGCTCCCCACTCTGTCTCTGGTGAAGCCTCTCACCGTCCCTGAGCCTCTGGCCTGTACCCCAGTTCTATATGAATAAATAAATAAATCTTTAAAAAAAAAAAACAACTGGCCCTCCCTGGTGGCGCAGCGGGTTAAAGCACAGCACTGAGAATCTGAAGCCACTTCCGCATGAGTTCGATTCCCGCCTGCCGCCTGCCCCGGAGGAGACCACATGGCGAGCCAGACCTCTCCTGACCCGCCCGCTGCTCCCCTCAGCAGTGTACTTCGTCAATCTGCCTGTTCTGCTCCCCACTCTGTCTCTGGTGAAGCCTCTCACCGTCCCTGAGCCTCTGGCCTGTACCCCAGTTCTATATGAATAAATAAATAAATCTTTAAAAAAAAAACAACTAACAGTGCACATCCAAATTCATCTGTCTTTTACAATGATGCCCACAAGTCACAACTACATTAGAAAACTGTAGTAAACACAATCATCATAGCTGTTAAATAGATCCCTTTCCATAAACAGCAGTAGCAATACTTTTACATATCAAATTTGCCTATAAACACTCATTCTGAAACCAGACTTGCAATTTCACGGTATCAACTTTTGTTTTGTATGGACTTCTTTAAGAGCTAAGAAGGCTATTTTTCAAATCACATCCTGAACATAGCAGCCATACAACAGACATGTCCTCTCTCTGTCACATACACGGTAAGGTAAAATAAAGAACACCATTCTAGGTAGGATAATAGGGGACCTGGATCCCATTTTCCCCTGTAACTTAAGAACTGTATGATCCTGATTTCGATCAACCAAGCACCCTGAGCCTTAGCTATCTCATTTATAGTCTATGCATAAAAATTACTTATGGGATAGGGAGAATGTTGTCTCAATGATTTTTCAAGTTTAAGATATATAAATCTATGAATCTTAAATACCCTAAAGGTTTATAAACACAGAATCACTTGTGCATTTTTGAATTGGAAAGTTCAAGCATTATCTATCCAGTTTAATTTTCTTTGTTTAAAACAAAAGATAAGCAAAAACTTTGAAGTAAACTTCAAGATTCAGGGGTTAGTTTTATTCCTGATAAAACTCAACATGTGTGAACAATTATAATAATAAAAAGTGAATGAACTCACCATTAATTACTTCCTGTCTTTTGATCTCACAAGGCTTTAGTCCCACTAACACATCTCGACCAACAAGCTGTTGCCAGTTGGGTGGATCTGTCTCTAAGTCATTTTCAAACTGTTCATCTTCACTTTGACTTTCTCCAAAAGCTGAGCTGTCAAACCTAAAGGAAAAATGATAATTTCTTGAGGATATCATGTGGACACAAGTTTTTACATTACAGTAAATCAGATTTCTGAAGTACTACTAGAATAGCAAAGAACTTAAAGCTCAGTCCTCCTACAAATGGCCTATCTGTGTTACATGTACTCTATAAGTAACTTTACAATGATCTGATTATTAAAAACTTTGCTTTATACTTTCTAACAGATTTATGCACAAGACTTCTTTAAAATGAGAACTTTAGAAGAAAAATATTTTTAAATATGTTTCTCTTGAAAGCTATTTCACGATTACTTACTTTCGAAAGGGCTTTGGTGTTCCATGCTCAGTCACTCTAAAACAATGGAGAATAAACAGTCAATACGAAACTTAAAACTGTAGTCAAGAAATCTATGCCCAAGAAAAGCAAAACTAGGTTAAACTACAGCAGCCGACAAAGAATTCTTCAGGATTTTGTAACTTAATAGCAAATAAATGAAAAACAAATTTGAGACCCATTAATAGTAACTCATTAAACTTTAATTCTTCTCCCCTCTAAAACCACGTATGATGAAAAAAAAAAAAACCAGGAATATAAAAAAGATAGGAATATAGTACAATCAAAAAGCTTAAGCAACATCTACCCTAAGATATCACTGGATTACCTTTCTACTTCACACTCCTCCTCCTGTACTTGGTCTAGTGTAGGAGGTGTGAAATCAAAGAATGTGTTGGGTGTACGTGGTGTGCTCTCTAGGGAGTCGCCGGATGTTGGTGTTTCTCCAACTTGCTTTGATCCTAGAATGACAAATGTCAGACATTAGGGTGACATCAATGTTTAATAAAGACAATAATCACAAAAATGATTTAGTCCTCAAAAGAAAGTCAATCTAATCCATAGCCATAATCTTATTTAAACTGTTACAAGTTAGCTAGAACCAAAATTCTCACATATAAAATGTTTAAATGCACTAAAAAATAAACAGGAAAATAATTTGTTAGCATTTTTCAAAAATGTACTAATGACATGACCACTCAGAAACAGGATGCCCAGACACATTCTGTCACTTGATCTACCCTCAGAATCAATCTTTTATAAAGTGTAAAACCTGAGTGGCTCTAGAAGTCCAATTCAAACCTCATATTTCTTATTCTTGATTTATTATTTTTAGGTAATAGCATTTCTTCCTCTAAGGATTTCTTCACTTATACGCATTGCCTGTACTTTCTTTCCATTTCTCTTCAATGTCTGGTAATTCTACTACTATTACTAGTTTGGCTATTGATTATTTCCCAAGTTTCAATAGCATGACTAGACTGTATTTTTGTTCCATCAAGGAGTTGGGATCTGAGCTTCTTCTGTAAATGTGCTTCTGCATCAGGTCAGGTATTAGCATCCATATCTTTTAATTATATTCTTTCTAATTACCTTTCATTTCTTCCAACTAGTAACTATTTGACTTGAATCATTAAATTTTTTACACTTACATTCTGATCTATAGTCCCATATGAAAATTCTCTGTTTTGTCTATCAGGATGAGTCCAAAAGTTGTATGTCACTGTCTAATGTTTGATATGTAACTTAATAGCAAATAAATGAAAAACAAATTTGAGACCCATTAATAGTAACTCATTAAACAACAAGCGATTTTACCAAGAATGAGCAGTGCTCTTCATATTTAAGAATGTAAGACTCAGATATGATTTGGCTTTCTTTTGATATGCGTATGTAAGTAGGTACATTCAGTATGGAGCTCTTTGAGAAGGTCGTGTACCTCACATACACAGTCAGGCTTTAGGCCCCAAAGGTTAGAACTCTAGCCCATTAACACACAGGCGGACTTAAATATCCCTATATAATTAATTTAATTTCTCTAAAAAAAGAAGATACTGTATGATAGACTTCATATTTCCATATTCCAAAGATCGCAGATTTCTAACTCAATTGTTTTGATTATAGACCTTCAATTAATTCATAGTTTTCAGCTTTACTTCTTACTCACGCATTCCATACCACATGCCAATTCTAAATCCAATTCTCTCCAGGATTCCAAAGAGCAGAGTGGCTCCCACATTAGACTCAAAAACAACTTATAGGCTCCAGCTTCCTTTATGTTGTTTTATCCATCAAACTATTCTTGTCTAGCTTCAATCTCCCCCAAATTTGTTGAAATCTTTCATTTCAACATTTTAATCTCCTTTCTCTCCATGTAGCTTTTTTAAATTACCTACCATGTTTTTATTTTAATGAGAAATGGAAGCCATGAATTAATACTGGCCCTCAATCCAACATCTTCAGAATTCCAAATCAGACAAAATCTCCGGACTATTCTCCAAATGTTAACCTTACTTCATTTTAAATAAAAACCTAGCACTCTCATATGGACAACCTCTTCTCAGAGAGAGGTGTTTTCTGACATATACTGTGGGCTTCAGGGTGGGAAGGAAATGGGTATTCTTTCCTCATTGACTTTCAAATCATTGTTTTTCCTTCTTATAAAATCCTTTGCACCTTGGAGGCTCTCATTCACTGAAATTTATCACGTAGATGTTATCACATCTATCATCTAGCAACAACTGCACCTTGGCTGCAGTTCAAAGGTTTTCCTTCTATACTACTATCACGCACAAAGTGACCTCAAAACCCATGTATACTAGCTATTCAAACTCCTACCTCCTTGGTCCCTTGCCTTCTTCATCTCCAGTAACCTACTATGTGGGCTTAATGTCCACTTCCAGAACTTTCTTCTTGATCTGTTACCACCAGAGACTGAACTGCCTCCAAAACAGTAATGTCACTAGGTAGTCCCTTCTTCAGCTAAAATCACTCAGCTCCCAACTCCCTTGCTTAAGAAACCATTTGTAACAATTACTGAAAAAAGCATGATACGGTCTTTTCCTAATTATCTACAACTATTTCATATATTTCTTTACTTTTCAAAATCTTGTGCTGGCACTCCCAGAAAATATTTGCATCTTCACGTATACTCTATGACTCCTCTTCCCTATCCTCAAAATAATGTTCTATACATTATATAGTGTATCGCCTGTATCCCCAACAACTTTCTCTCAACTAACCCTAAATAATAAACAAACAACCTGAAATATCTCAGACTTGTAGACCCACCCCACATATGCCCCTAACTTTCAACACTGCCTTTACGGACATAACACAGCTTGAAGAGCTCACCCATATCATTCTCTTTCCCTCCTTCCTGGGGAAGGGGAACCCCTGAAGACACAGAGGACATGGAATTGGCTGGCAAGTATCCAATGTCTGTTCCATCGCTTGCTAACCCACTCTGGCGTATCTTAGCAGACTCCTGTGGCTCAGGACTCACAGATGAGGGTGTGGATAAGTGCTTAGGATGGCGCTGCTTCTGCTGGAGTTCCATGGCCCTGCCAACTGAACAGAAAGCAGTGTTTAGCAATTTACACAGCAAGACAACTGCAAGGATAGCATAAAGCATCCGGGACAGTGCTGGAATCTAGAAAAATACATGGTAAATTTTTACACAGAGCGAGAAATGATGAGAAAAGATGAGAGTAATGGTGAGTGGGGGGACAGGGAATGCCAACACAGACACATACGGCACTATATATATTCCTATGTGGGAGTGAAGCTGAAACCTTTCAGTTCTGTGAGTGAGTAGCAAGCCCCATGCCACTTCTCCCCAACACTCACAACTTCATCACAATATACCTCAGAAACCACCTAGCCTAATCCCTATCCTCTTCATTATTTCTGTTCACATCACTCATGGTACCAGATTATCACCCCACTAAACAATGCCATATCCTCAGAGATCTGTACATCCCTCTTCCTTAAATTCTTCCTACAATTCTTCTTCTATATCCCTTGAAACTTATGGTCAGCATCTGTGAAATGCTCCATCTTCTCATTATATTCTCTAAAATTTCCTTCATCTTCTCAGTATTTCTCACCAAGAAGCATTGGTATCTGAGTGAGAATTCCTCCTTGTGTGGACATCCAATATCACTGTCTCATGCCAGCACCTCCACTCCAGTCATGCAAATATTTTCAAATGTAGTGTTCCTCAAGTTGAGACCACAACAAGACATTGCTTCCCTCCCATATCACCCCTATTTCTCTTCCGGTCCTTTCTGGGGGTGCTGATGCCTCTCCATGAGGCCTTAAGATAGAAAGATCTCAAGAAATGAAACATAATGGAGAGGTGGAGAAATTGCAGAAATATGGAGAGAATGAGTAATATATGTATAAAATGATTAAAGTATGATGGTGAAATCTATGCACAGTTGGCTTTTTTTAATTTAAAAATCTGAACTTGAATGTAAACAATCAAAACAGACATGTGAATTATGCTATAGACATATGTTGTAGGGCTCTACTGCCATTAAAAAAGATGTTTATGACAATTATGTAACCAGGTGGGGGCATGTAATTCATAAATAACATCAAATGGAAACAAGGCATGTTGGAAGTTCAGTGGAATCATTTCAGGAACACGTTTCTCCAGAAATTCATTCCAGCCAAAAAAGGATCTGATGTTGTGACAACGCAGATCTATGGGAATGCAGCATGTCAAACCTCAACATACTTGCACCACTGTCATGGCGGCTTGGTCTCCTTGGGGGTCCCAGAATGCTGGGGAAGCCTCTTCGTTTCCCTTTTTCTTCACCTTCCCTGTCTTTCTTCATACTTTGCTAGAGATACAATCAAAGAGACAGGAGATACACAGTTAAGTAGATTTATTTTGCTTTCAAATGTAGAAACACAACTCTAATGGTCTGTTGAAATAAAATGAGTAAATGTAAGTGACAGACATACTCAACAAACACACGCCACACTAGACATGGTGTGCAGCAGATGCTGGTGCACAGTACCGTAGACAGATCAAAGTTGTCTTTTCAACGCCTTCACAGCTGACAATTTTAAGATGACAAAAGCATAGTTTTATTAATCAGTTATTGGGAGCTTGTTCTAAGCAATTCATTCATTCATTCATTGAACAAATATTCACTAAGTTCTTAGTATGTGATGGCACTGTGCCGAAAGCTGGGACACAGTGGTGGAAAAGGTCCTTGTCTGCACAGACCTTCACAATGAAACAAACAGTAAAAAAACAGTAGACAATTAAAACTAGCATAGGCACCATAAATGAAAAAAAAAAAAAAAAAGAATAACCCACAACAGAACTGGGGATGTCACTCTGTGTAAACTGCTATCTTTACTTTTTTACACTGCCTAGTAATTAGCTTACAAGTCTGTGTTTCCATTAGATTTTGAGTTTCTTGTGAAAAGAGACCTTATTTTACCTTACATCCATTAGCACATCTAGCATTAATTTGCTAAAAAAGTTAACACTAGAAAAAGAAAGCACTGCACCCAAATGCAAAGACACAGAAACCTGAACAAATATTACTTAAATCTTACTTTGATTTTTGGAAGAAATCCAATACGACCTCGCTTGTGCTCCAAATTTCGTGGTTCTTTCACTTTTACTCCCAGATGCTTCATGTACATGAGAATAACATACTGCATTGTCGAACTGGAAGAGAAAGGATTAAGTAAAATAAGGCTTCTGAGAAGGAAAAGTGGGTAGAATAATGATACCAAATGACTTCCAAACACACAATGTTAAATTCTTAGAAATCATTCATCAAGTAAAAAATAAGCAAATAGGTATTCATTGCAAACAGAAAATGATCCTAACTCCAGACACTAGAATTTTAGTGAGGGGAAGAAAGAAAAAAAGCAGGCCACAAGAGGGAGACAGTCAATGTTTTTTAAATTAAAAGGGAAAAATCATTAAGTTAGAAATGACAGAAGTAAAGATAGTTTCTTTTTCCTTGATATTTTATAGAAAAGGTTTATTACCTCTTATCTTCTTCTACAGCCTGAGCAGTCATCCTAAAAAAAAAAATATTTTCAATATATTTTCAATATAATATTAAAGTTTAATAAAAGAACTGCTACTAAACTCAGATACCTGAAACAACAGAACAGAGCTAAATACTTTGGTTCCCACCCTGAACTCTGCTATCTGGAATAAAATAACAAAACAAACAAACAAACAAAAAAACCCTAAACCCCAGAGGAAACACTTGCTTTTCATCAATTATAATGTCATCAATTACAAATGTTGCTTCATAGTAAAATAATTTCAAAGATATAATCCAATGAAAGTGTTCAATCTGTTTTTGATCAGTTATTGGTAATTTCATAGTTAACTCATGTTATTAATACCCAGGAATAAAACCATAAGAACTTTGCCTGAAGTATCAAAGTAATAAATTCTAGTTTCTAAAGTGTTATGCCAAAATAGACAGCTATACATACACAAACTGTTAAGTTTATTTAACAGTACTTTCAGTAGAACTAGAGTTTCAGGAGAGGGAATTTCTACATGTCCCCCCATTACTTACAACACTTCTTCAATTTTGGCAACAATCTGTTCCGCACATGCCCGCTCCTTCTCCAGAGCTGCCCGATCTTTGTCTCGCTCTGCATCAAGTTTAGTCAGTTCACTTTCAGCCAAGGTCAGTCCCATACTACGTTTCTGCCTATAGGGAAAAAGGAGAAATTTCCTGAGATAGCCTAGAGAAAATCTATCTCCCTATGGAGATGTTTCATCAGAGTTTCCATAGCTATGAGTTTCTAGCAACAAGGAAAATGTCACAGTTTTCTATTTTTGGCCCATGTCACCTAGGACACCAAGGAAAAAAATTCCACAGGCAATCATTCCACAGAGCACAAATCCTGAAGGAACACACCTAGCAAAGAGCTAAGTACTGAGCTACATCCCTGAAACTCTATGGAATGGGGACTGAGGTACCATTACAGCCTTTGGAATTCAAATGTTCATTATCATTTAAAATGGGAATAAAGAACATATGCTAAGCCAGGGACTTACTATACCAAATGGAAAGGAAATTAATTTGGAATGACCATACAGCTTTTATCTATCACCAAACTTACCTAAAATCTTCTAAGTGTCTCTGAACTTCTGGGTAGACTCTTTCCTGCATAGTTTGGATATAGTGTCGATGTAGATCCTCAGGAATAAGCTCAGGTCTTCTTTTTTCTACAGAAAGAAAAGGAAAGTAATTACCTGATCAAAAGGTATATTTTGTTTATTTTATCCTGGCAACAAAGCTATGCTATTTGGTGAAAATTTAATTCAAAGAGAAGTTCTTCAGTGTAGTTCATCTCAGAATTCAGGTTTCACTTACTTTTAAATGTATTATAGACTCTGTTGTGAGTCAGATGACCTACTAATTACCTCATGACAGATAAAACCATTAGAGCTGAGATGAGCTACAGATCTACAGAGAGGTCATTCTCCAGGGTACTGTGCTCCACACTTACCTAGATCTACTGATATCTCATCGGGAACAGGAACTTTCAGGTGCTAAAATAAAAATTAAAACAGCACATGAGGGATGTTTCAAGGTCTGTATAAATACTTGTATAGGTAAAGCAATAACAACTTGAATTTCTATTCTTAAAAGGATACTCTATTTATTGGGTTCAACTCAGCAAATTTCACAGTTGTGAAAATTCTGTTTTCTAAACCTGAAAATTTGTTCTTCCTCTAAGAACCATACTACAAAATAAATACCTATAATCATTTCGTCAAATGACAAAGTGTTTCTGTGCCTTACATATTCCTATTGTCTTTGGCTTTCTGGAATCAATTGGTTGATATAAGCAGTTACACATCACTGAACTAATATAGGTACATTATCATATACAAAAATTCACTTATCTATAACTATGAATTGTATTTGCTGCATTTGAGATGGTTACTCCACATGCATCCTATCATCAGTCACTTGCCCAGATAAAGCTAAAGAATTATCATGATAGTCACACTCCAATGAGAAGGCAATAAAGGTCAAGGTTCAAGTTTTAGAGTCTTAAATTTTCAGCAAGCGTCTGTTGTTTTTACTACTAAACTAAGGTAATTGTGACATGATTTGCTTCTTCTTATTAGGGTTTCCTTGTAATAATTATAATTCAGTTTCTAGTCCCATTACCAAACTGCTGTGTTTCCCATCCCATCAAAATCTAATAAGTATCTTGAAAAAATTATTAGTAGAACAATTAATAATTCTTACCATCTTCATCATGTATACTTTGTACTGTAGACCTACTTAGGAAAGTTAATTTTAAACTTTAAATAATCCATAAACTCTGAAACTTTACATTGGAAAACAAGTCACTTAAAAATTAGACCTCTCCAATATTCATTTGAAAAAGCCTTCAAGGGCACACCCTGGTGGCACAACAGGTTAAAGCTAGGAAGCTAGCCACAGCCACTTAAGCACAAGTTCAATACCCAGCCAACAAGGTGATCCACATGATGCAGCAGATCTCTCCTGACCTGCTTGCTGCTCCTCAGCACTGTACTTTGTGCCTGTTCTGCCACCCACTCTGTCTCTGGCAAATCCTCTTATCACCCCTGTACCTCTGGCCTACACTCTAGTTCTGTATGCATTAATAAATAAATCTTTAAAAAAAGAAAGAAAAAGCCTTCAAAGTATTTTTTTTAACTGAAGTGGCCACCCTGTAGTTCCAATCAACTTCTTGAAAGTATTTTAAGCAAAAATGTATGTAAATGTAAAAAAGTATGTGTTTGGGACATCTGAATGAAATATATATTTTTATTCTGTGACATAAAAGAATAAAGAGAAAATTAATCAATCAGGGTTCTTACACTTCATGTTGTCAGGAGTAGCAAAAGAGATTTTAAGTTTGATTTTTTAGATTTATTTATACATACAGAACTGGGGCACAGGCCAGAGGTGTAGGGGCAGTGAGAGGATTCATCAGACAGAGTGGGGAGCAGAACAGGCAGACTGATAACGTACACTGCTGAGGGGAGCAGCGGGCAGGTCAGGAGAGGTCTGTCACGCCACATGGATCACCTCCGGGGCCAGGGATCAAACTCACAATGAAGTGACTGTGGCTCACTTGCAGTGCTGCGCTTTAACCTGCTGCACCACCAGGAAGGGCCACAAAATAGATTTTTGACTTAACCACAGAGCTCTCTTAAGAAATGTGAAATTCAAACATGAAATAAAAATTTCCTTATGTAAGAAAACTACCTTAATTAATATTTTTTAAAGTATAATATTTTAAACAATGGACATATAATCAAGATTTAGAATCTTGATTCTTATTAGTTAGCTAACAAGATATTCAATAAATACTTAAACAAATAATCTGTGCCAGGATCTATTATTCAGTATGAGAAATAGCAATGAACAAAAAGAACAAAAACATCTACCCTCATGGTGCTCGGATTCAGGGCAGAAGAGTGAAATATAAAGAAACAAAGAACTAAATAGGTTCTATGAGCAAAATTACACAAGAAAAGTGACTGAAAATGAAGAGACAGAAATTTTAAATAGGTTGATCAGAGAAGATCAACAGCAATGTATACATAAGTAGGCAACCTTGTAACGAATTTATAATAAAATGATGAGGCTGAAGCAAGAAGTGGAGCCAAAATACTTCTGTAGGTATTGTTTTAAGATAGCAGAGCTAACAATGGTTGCATGCTAATGTGGATGATTTGGTAGAACACAATAAAAATAATACAATCTGAGGAAACAGAGAAAAGGTTGACCTTAGATTACAAACAAGGACAACTCCATAGCATCAGGAAAAATGGCAGAACATATAGGCATGATAGAGTAGGATAAAGGTAGTAAGATTTCTCTTCCGTGTACTTTAAGTTTCTCAAAGAAACACACACCCAGGTCATCAGTTGAGAAAAAGACAGAAGATGAAGTGCTAGCATTTTAGGAGAGAGATATCAGTCTCTGAGAGATCAGTAAATGTGAAAGGACTGGAGACAAGCAGGATGACAACACAGGAGGTATTAGGAGTCAATGATAAAGCTTACCAGTGTAAAAACCTACTAAGCCTTTTTAATTGGCAAAATAAAACACTATCATCATTTATGCGAGGGTGACCTTTCCAACACTTCTTAAATAAATTCCTGCAGGGGCCCTCCCTGGTGGCGTGGCGCAGCGGGTTAAAGCACAGCACTAAGAAGCTTAAGCCACTTCCGCATGAGTTCGATTCCCACCTGCCCCGGAGGTGACCACATGGTGTGGCAGACCTCTCCTGACCCACCCGCTGCTCCCCTCAGCAGTGTGCTTTGTCGATCTGCCTGTTCTGCTCCCCGCTCTGTCTGTGGTGAAGCCTCTCACCGCCCCTGAGCCTCTAGCCTGTACCCCGGTTCTGTATGTACAAATAAATAAATCTTTAAATAAATAAATAAATAAATAAATAAATAAATTCCTGCAAACTTCTAAGAGTCAACCAGAACTCAATTATGCAAATATTATATAATACAGTAAGCACTCACTTTATGGAATGGACAGGGTTCTTGCAAATCAACTAGGCCAAACAACATATAATGAAACCAGGTCCTCAAATAATGTCAGTGTTCATTCAACACAGGCTATGATTCATTTTTCACTGACATTACAATGAAGTGACAATGAAGAAAATAACTTTATTCAAGAACCTAATATACATACATGCGGATCATTTGTGTTCTCTTTTTTACTCCCCCTTTCTGATTGCGTGTATGTATAAAACCAAATATAGAATAATTGAGACAAAAAATAGATGTCAAAAGCACAATAAAGCTTAACAACATAGGAGAGAAGATTGGAAGCAGAAGGACAAATCAATGTGCTAAAGTCGATATCATAAAATTAACTTGGCAACTTACTGCAGATCGATCCAGGAAGAACTGATGAAATTCAAGGAATACACGACGAGTCTCCTTGGAATTGGTCTGTTTATACAAGTCTGAATAGAGATAACAGAGCTAGAATAGAGAAAGAAATGTAAGAGAGAAATTGAGAAATCAAGAAATACGTAATCTGCTAGATCCTCATTGAACAGCAATGTGTGAAACAAGGCAGATCACCATAAACAAGGCAGTTATTACTATAAAGACCAGTCTTTAAAAACAAATTAATCACATTTTAAATACCTTTCATATCCTTACATGTTTGGAAAACTGAAAGAAAACTATCTACTCATCTTGTAAAAGAAAAAAACTTCTTAGGCCTCTCTTGTGGCATAAGGTGTTAATTGTCAGCATTTATCAAGCTATGGGCAGCCACTGCAGCTTGAGTTCAATCCCCGGCCAGGGAGCTGACCCACATGGTACAGCAGACCTCTCCTGTCTTGTCTGCTGCTCCCCTCAGCAGTGTATTTCAGTCCATCTGCCTGTACTGCGCCCCATTCTGTTTCTTGTGAATCCTCTCACCCCCTGCATGTCTGGCCTGTACCCCAACTCTTCTATGCGAAATAAGTAAAATAAATCTTTAAAAAAAAATAAATCTTTTCTAAAGGAGAGAAAAACATCTTAAGGTACACATGTCAGTGTACCTTAAGTTGGCTAAATCATAAAATATATTACCAATGTTGCAGGGTCAAACTGAGAAACCACATGGTGCAAGAAAACAGCCAAGTGAGCAGGACGAGATTTCAGCAGTTCAATGCTCTGGAAACAGCTGCACTGCCCGTTGATCTACAAACCAACAGCCCAACACACAAACGCAAAATGTCATGTAAGCCCATTTGAACCTAACTATCCAAAAGTCACTTTGACCTATTCTTCCCCCACCCCCCAAATCATAATTTTCAAAAATTCACTCTAATTTTTTTTTTATTTTACATTTTTTTTATTAAAAAGTTTATTTTTACATCATTTTGCACATTTTTTTTTTTCATCTCAATTGTAATCCCCACGGGTTAAATTCACTCTAATTTGTTAGTGACATGGTCTATAGAATCTCTTCCTCTGAAAATGAATAATCTCTTGGGGACAGGTTAGAAGAGGTCAGGTTAAAATAAAAACCACCCTGAGAGAATGTAAGTTTAACAAGAATTTCAGACGTCTACAAATCAGTATACAAAGAACAGTCTAGCAGCACTTTTAAAAATGTAATGGAATGCTTTTCCCCTAATCATGAAATAGTTATTTTCCTTTGGGGGGGTATCCTAAACAGAGCAATAAACCTAACAAGAAATAAAGATAAACAGATAAGTAGATAAAAACCATCTCTATTCAAACAACCTGATTGTCTATGTAGAAAATCCCTAGAATTTATTTTAAAAAGCTCTGAGAAATAGTGAGTTTTCAAGTATCAAGCCCATCCCATTCCTATATGTCATCAATAAACAACTGCATTTTGAAATCTTTAAAAAATTGACACTAATCCCCTGAGGAAGGACTGAAGGTTGGCACAGGAGCTTGGTGGGAGGTGAGCACACACAGAGGCATACACATGTAACCCAGGGTCACACAGACTTGTGAACAATGAATAAATTAATAAGAAAAAAAAATGATAGCCTCATTCCTCCAAAATGAAGTATTTAGGCACTACTTATCTGCTTTAAAAGCAAAGTCAAGCTCTCCCTGGTGGTGCAAAGGGTTATAGCAAAGCATTATAAAGCTAAGGCAGCCACTGAAGCACTGATCCCCATCCAGGGAGCTGACCCACATGGCGCCCCAGACCTCCCTTGACCCACCCACTGCTCCCCTCAGCAGTGTATTTCGGTACACTACTGCTCTCTACTGTCTCTGGTGAATCCTCTCACCCCCAGCACCTCTGCCTGTACCCCAGTTCTTATATGCATAAATAAATATTTTTTTAATAAAAAAAATAAAAGCAAGGTCATTTCTACTAGTCAAAGTAAAAACTGGCAATTAATTCATGTAACTAACCAGTTAATCTTAGTTCTAAGACTTAGCCTTCAAATTCTTACAAGTATTTCAAGAAATGTTTACTTTTGCAACATATCTAACAGCTCACAAAATTAATTTGGTTCTTAGGAAAAAATGTCATTACCTGTTCATGTTCAGTACCAAAATCATCATCCTCTGCTCCAATAATATGAGGTGCTACACGAGTTGAAGGACTCCCAATAAGTGACTGACTGTCCTGGTAACATTCAGATAACAGAAATAAAATTATCTGAAAGTCATAATCAGGCAAAGAATAAAGTCAAACCATCAAAAAGACATGGTTCATTAGTGGCATTTATTTATGTTTCCTTTCTTTAAGTACTTAATTTCCAGAGCCTTGAGTCACTTAAAAAAAAAAAACACACACAGCATTGATGCTACTTTATGGTGGTTTGAGAGAGATGAGGGGGAGAGGAAGAGGGTAGGAGATTGCCTAGAAAATAGTAAACTCCTTTTGCTCACTACACTCTTTGTTTGCTGACTCTACTACTTATAGTTCCTTTCATATATAGACTTCATTACAGAAAGAAATTTAGTTTACATAAAGTATTTCAATTTAAAAAAGGTATACTGTAAAGGGTGAATGAAGACAAGAATAAATACAAGCAGAAATGGTACAACAAAGTTAGAAGAGAGAATAACACCAAGATTTCTATTAATGTCATAACTGAAAACTGTCACTGAAGCTATTTTTTCATTTTAAATTTATTGTCATAAACCCATAATATAGGATTTTTTCAGTACACCCTGGCACTGATGACCTTTCAGGCCAGATAATTCTTTGTTGTTGGGGTTCCCCTGTGCACTGTAAGTTGTTCCAGCAGTCTCTCTGGCCTCTACCCAACCACTAGATGCCAGTAGCAGATATACAGTCATGACAATCAAAAATATTTCCAGAGACTGCCAAATGTTCCCTGAGGGACAAAATAACTCCTGGTTGAAAACCACTGGCACAATACAATAAATTTTTCAAGTATGCAGAAACACTGCTATAGAAACAAAATTGGAAAATTAACTTGCAGATTGGCAGTTTTCACTCCTATGCTCATTCATCATTCAGATACAAAGTTGGAGTTAGCATGAAAAAGATAGGGTAGAACCACTAATGTGTAATGTGAAAAAGACAAGATGTATGAAGACCATAACCATTAAGTCAAGACCATACAGAATTAGAAGGAATGAAATTTTGGAATAAACAGAAAAAGAATGAGTTTGGTTTAAATCCAATAGATAAACAAGGAGAGTGGGGTTATAATGATGTTGGAGTCATGTTGGAGTCATGTGCAGAGCAGTTAAGCTGAAGCTTTGTAAATGGATCCAAAAAATATAAACTAAGTGAATAACATGTAGCTATTACATTTCTTGCTTAAGTACATCTCAACAGTGTATATTTCTGTTTCTCTTAATCTGGTCTGCCTTTTTAAACATTTTTTTGTAATGCCAATGTTTTATAATTAAAAATAAAATCCAATAAAATAATAGAAACTTACTGTAGTCAGAAAATTTTTTATTTTAAAACAGATTAAAAATCTCTTCTTTTTCAAGAGTATTTTGCTAATACTACACCATAGTATAATGTTAAATATCTTACTATACAACTTTTTACATCTAATTTAAAATAAAAACACAATACTAAGAGTATCCAATTAAGAATCTGCAAGATGCAGCAATTCTACTTCTCAATATATACTCAAAGAATTGAAAGGAAAAACTTGAACAGATATTTGTACTTAGCATGTTCATGGCAGCTTTATTCACAAAAGCCAAAAGGTCAAAACAACCCAAGTATTCACTGATAATGAATGGATAATCAAAATGTAATTATAATGGATTATTATTCAGCCTTAAAAAAGGAAGGAAATTCTGACACATGCTACAGTACAGTGATCCTCGAAGACATTGTACTAAGTGAAATATGCTAGTCACAAAAGGAGAAACACTGTATGATTCTATTTATATGAAGTACCAAGAATAGCCAAATTCATAGAGACAGAAAGTAGAATGGGGGTTGCTAGGGATTTCGGGGAGAGTTAGCATTTAATGAGTACGAAGTTTTAATTGGGGAAGACGAGAAGTTCTAGATATAGATGTAATGATGGCTGTACAATGTGTGAATGTATTCAATGCCAGAGAGCTATACATTTAAAAAAAAAAAACTGTTAAAATAACACTGCAAGGATGTAGAATAATGGTTATTTTAATCAATATAGAGATTTTTTTAAAAAGCTGTTAAAATGATAAGCTAAGTTACTTGTAATTTACTACAACAAAACATTAAACCAACTAATAACACTAACTACAAAGTAGCACTTCATTCATACGATCTTCATTTCTTTAATAACTGTAAGGTTTCTCTAAAAAAAAAAAGTATCAGATACATCTGCCATCTAATTACAAGGAAAACTAAAGAAAACACTATCATTTCATGAATTCAATACTCACAGTATCCTGAATTAGTTCACTCTTCTCAAGGGTTTCCTCTAGATAAATCCTCTCTTTTAGGCCACTCTTGGGACTCTAAGAGAAAAAAAAAAAGACATATAGTTTATTTCAAGAATTTTACCAACAAGGGATAAGTAAAAATAGTGTGAAAGATGATCTGAATTTCAAATTTTTATTTATATGGAGGTATTTTATAAAGAGGGTGTGTTTTGGGTGATAATTTTTTTTTTCAATCTCAAATGAAATTTAATGTATGGGTGGTAAATTTTTAAGTTATTATTCCTATTATTGCCAAACAACTCTCAAACCTTAATCTGATGAAGATTCTAAATCTTTCAGTTTTCAGGAAATATTCATAGAGGAATATTCCTCTATGTCAGCATCATGAAAATATGATTAGAATATAGGTTGTTCTAATGGATATAGGACCTAGCTTCCTTAACCACAACCAAAAAAAAGAAAATAAGACAGAGAAAGAGACAAAAATTAAGAGACATAAAAATGACTTATCGGCCAAAGGCTGAAGATATTGACTGTATCCTCATTCAAATAAACCAACTGCAAACAATCACTGTAACTGAATTATGGTAATCAAATTGCATGTTCTTAAGGTTTGACAATGATACTGTGGCTAAATTTTTTAGAAGTGTTCTTTTCTCTTGAAGATACATCTTAATGAAATAATGCCTCGGATGCAGTTTCAAATAATCCAGTGTTTGGAGGGTGTGAAGGCTGAGAGACATAAAGCAGACATGCTGAGCGTATGCTGACGACCGCTAAGGCTACATGGAGTGTGAGGGAAGTCATTAAACTAGTCTTCCCATGTCGAAATAAGACTGAAACATTTCCAAAATAACTCTTAAAATATTAGTTTATATATTAAAAGTCAGAGGTAAACAGATACTCTGAAGTTTAGATGATGATTTATGATAAAGTTGCGTCCCTTTAAGAACTGAGTATGTGAATATTTGTCACCACAAATTATTTTCAAAAAATAAGCAAACAATGGAAAATATTAAAAGCACAGATTCAGAAGATTAGAAGACAGATTGGCTCTTACAATTCTAATACAATATAGAGCTGAAACAAACATGGAAATTCACAAGCACAAAGCAGCACATCCTTAAGCTTCAACTAGACACAGGAATTAAGGCTGTTTGCAATGTGTTTAGTAGAGACCCTACTCTACCACATTAATTCTCTCCCAGACTTTCACCAATTTCCAATTATTATTTGGGCTCAGTTTCTTTCTGCTGCTTATTTTAAGACTATTATGAGTTAAAAAGACTATCTGTAAAGCTTTCACTACAAATGTTAACACAAAGTGAATAATCAATAATGCTGACTAGCCATTCAATATATAAATAAGCTCCTAGTAAACCAAATAATCTTCTTTTCTTACAGACCTCCCTGTTACTCTAATTAATTTTCCACAATGGAAATATTTCCACAAAGAGTATGTTTCTGGTTATGCCTCTCCTGCATGCAATTTATAGCCTAAACTTTTTACTTACTCATTTTGTTATTCATTCAAGAACTTACTAAACACCAATTACATGTCAAACAATCTGAATTTACTGGAATACCTTTTTCTATACTTGCCAGTTCAATCTTAATAAAGTTTGGTCTGAAGCACAAATTTATAGCAGCAAGAGAAAATTTGAATTTTTCATTTGAAAAATTTCTTTAAAACGTCAGCTTGCTCAATCAAAATTATCATCATAAAAACACTGATAACTTTTCATTGGGCAAGGAACTGAATCATTGTGTCTAAGCCTTAAATGGTGGCTTTCTTCTTTTTTTAACTATAACCTTTTAAAGTTTAACAAGGTTAACCACTGTGTGTGTGTCTGTGTATACACATATACACAATGTATGTGCACACAAGTCACAAGAAGTAACACCTCCTCCACATGCAAAGCACTGTTTCCTATTTATTCTTTTTTATGCAAGTTCTAACCCGCTAAATTGATTTCAAGGCCTAACGTTTTAAAAAATACTGGCTTAGACTATTTTTTCCATATTTTTAAAGAGGGTGGTCAATTTTTAAGTTACTGTTCTTATTGTTGCATCCTGCGTACAAAGAAATGCTGAATTAGTTAAAACTAAACTCTAGTATTCATATTAACTAAGGTGCTAAATCATAGACTACTTAAAATATTTTCTTATCATTCTCTTAACAAACAAACATTCTCATCTGGCAATTTATGGGCTAATCATGAAAGTGTTACTAAATAAGGGCTATTAACTGAGGTCTAGCTTACAGGACTAAAGCTTTTCCTCTTTTGATGGCAAAGTGCCCCATGATTCAAGACTGAGTCACTCTGCCCACAAATGGAATATTAACATGTTCTTAAAGATATCAACAGTTGGCCTCTCGTTTCAGTAAGAAAGCTCTGGCTTTATTAGCTTCTCTACCCACAAACAAGATGTCTTCTGGGAAATTCCATCTCCTCAAAAGAAACATTTGGCAGTGGTGCACAAGGGAAAAAGTGAACTCTGGAATTAAAAGCTCAGATATGAGAGTGTTTGGAATTTCTGTTCATCAAATTGCTGTATTAAAGATGGCATATATAAGTAATAAGAGAATATTCCCAATTCATTACCTTAAAATTAAATCTAGAAAGAGGTGGTGAAGAAGAAAATAAGAAGATAAAAACGCTGAATACTTACATCTGCACTGTCACTACCGGGCCGAGAAGCATCTCCACTGCTGTAGTCAATTCTGCCTAGTCCCTCTCCAGTGTCTGCTTCTACTTCATTGACTGTTAATGTGTCACCTAAAGGCCTGGAGGGCATAACTATAGCTCCATCCTAAAACAGATTAAATATACATGAACACATTTAAAAAATCTTTCATTGCTCACCACCAAGTATAGAGTTGTACCACAAACTCAATGGAGACTTTTAAAAGTTGAACAGTTTTGTGTGATCAAGAATGCTTTTAGAAATTCATGTGTGTGTGAAATATACACTCCACTAGTAAATTTTCAACTGCATGCTTAATTCATATCGATAAAAACTGAGTTTAAAAAAAAAAGGAAAAAAGACTGCTTAAAGATCTAAAAATTATTATTAAAAACACATCTACAAATGCTGTAGATCTAAAATGGCCTCACCTTAAAGATAGCAAAGTGGTATTTCAGTAAAAAGAATGAAAGTTCAAATTTCCTATTAGGTTAAGAAGGTATCATAGCTTGTTAATTTAGATAATTTGTATTTCTCCCCAATAGCAAATATTAATAAAGCATAACTTCTGGTTAACTGTCTTCTAACACTTTCAATGAATTGCTAATTTAGGGAGGCATAATACCATAACATATAAATTGCCATAAGCATATACTTCAGAAACCACATTTTTCCTGTTAATAAGAGTGCATGTTTGCTAAATAATAATAAAACCTATAAACATTACTGAGGCATAATACTCAAAACTTCTATAGTTATTGGGACAGAAAGTAATGGGAAAAAAAATACTGTGTAATGAAAAACATATAAAAGCAGGAAGTCAAGAGACCTTACAATTGAGTGACCTTGTGTAAGTCATTCAACCAGTTCTGGCCAAGTTTTCTAAACTACAACATTGTTTTTTAATTTATATCACTTTAAAGTGAGAAGATTAGGCTAGATTATCTCAAAGAATACTTTTAGTTCTACAGTTCCTGATTTCTACCAAGCTCAGGAAGAATGACAACTTGACAGGTGTTGCTCATTTTAAGTGGTACATACAATTTGTCTATTTTCCTTTAAGAATCTGTGAGTATAAGGAATTTTTCACATTTTAAATCTGATTATTACAGAATACAAATCTGGTTGACATATAAATGGTAAGCTTTTATTTTTCCTAATGAGACCATTATCTTCTTCATCACTTTTGCCTATTTAGAAAATTATACTGAAATCTATTTTAAATTATAATAAATATACCATTATTATGAATATGAATTTACTTTTTTTTTTAAAGATTTATTTGCTCATACAGAACTGGGGTCCAAGCCAGAGATGCGATGGGTGAGAGGAGTCACCAGAGACAGAGTGGGGGAGCAGAACTGGCAGATCAATGAAGTACACTGAGGGGAGCAGCGGGCCGGTCAGGAGAGGTCTGCCGCGCCATGTGGATCTCCTCCGCCATGGGGATCTCCTCTGCCATGTGGATCTCCTCCGGGGCAGGCAGGGATCGAACTCATGCAGAAATGGTTTAAACTTCTTTTGCTGTGCTTTAACCTGCTGTGCCACCAGGGAGGGCCCTGAATTTACTTTTAATTCACTATACTGGACATGAATTCCAGCAGTTTTGAGCCACATGACCTCAGACAAGTTATTTAATCTTAGTTTCTGTACGAGTACGTTAAATGGGAAAAAACAACAGCAGACTCTAATCTCAGTCGTTATACAGATTAAATGAAAATTTCTTTGTCTATATACTTTAGCACAATTTTGTCATCTTGTAAAATTTTATATATTTCTAACTAAAAACCTCAAAAAGGCAATTATATGTATCTAAGTACATTTTAGTAGCTCATGACCCCAAAACAGAAGCACTCCATTCTTTCTTAAACTATAATGAAACCAACAGGCCATCAGAAGCCCACCTATCTTTTTGTTAATAATTACTTCTGAAACACCCTATACAGGACATCCTGTTGGCCTATGCTAAGAAAAATAACTTAAAAAAAGGAAAATGCAACATTCTCTGACACATTCCCAGAAGATAATTCTCCTGCAAAAAGTTGGGTAGCACTTTTAATAGTGATGCTACCTGAGCAGAGCCTGTGGCTTTGGATAACTGCTCTTGCAGCTGAGGAATGTGTTTCTTGGCCTCCTGGATTTCTTTTAGCAATCTTTGGGCAGGTGTTCGGTTGTACTCTTCCTGCAATAACTGAAAAGTTATAAAAATATTTTGAGAATTAATACTTATTTCAAGAAAATATAGAAAACGTCCATTCTTAATAAAATAGCTGATGGCATTGAATACAATACTGCTTGATTGTGACTATGATAAACACTAATTTAACTATTCCAACTCACATTTTTACTAGCCTGTAAATAGTTCCATTTCTAATTTAGTACCTGTAGCTGTTCCTGCTCTCTCTGTAACATTTTTCTCAGAATTTCTACTTTCTGGTTATGAACCACATTGTTTTCCTCCTAGAAAAGATAAAAAAAAAAAAACAAAAAACAAATAAAAGAGAACCAGTACAGGGGAAATATAAAGCAGTGAAAACAAGACATACGTTATTCTTTGGCTTCAGTTTTCAATACCTACTAAAATTTTCTTAATTTCCAGAAGTGATGAGGACAGGCTTTTAGGCATGACTTTCTTTTTTTTTTTTTTTTATTAAAGGTATGACATTCTTACAGATAACAGGTTACAAAGAAATTACAGCTGTTCTATTTCATTTTTATTAAACTAGGTTCACAAAAACACTGGTATTGCTATTAGTTGGGAAAATGAAGTTAATTTCAGTATAAAATAATCTTACTACTTTCTCTCCTTTGGCTTTTGCTATCAACCCTCATAAATGGTTCAAAACCCCAGTGCTTTAAACTTTGAAGATAGCTCCCTAACTCAGCTCCTGCCATCCCCCTATCTTCACAACCATGTAATATTTTATCAAATTAGTCTTCCTAAAACTCTGTTATAATCACATTACTCTCTTGCTCAAAAATAATTTTAATGAATTTCACTGTCAATCCAATTACATGTAAATTAGCCTGGTAGTTGTAACTTTTCAGAATAGTCCTACTCAAGTTTCTCTCTCTCTCTCTCTCTCTCTCTCTCTCTCTCTCTCACACACACACACACACACACACACACACACACACACACTTAACTGGCAACTGTCAAACAAGAACTCTGGCTACTGCCCCAAAATCCTTGGTGCTTTCCTGACACTTTATCTCTATTCCACTTTCGCTCCCTGGGTGCCTTCCTCTCCCATGGCCATCACTTATAATGTTGCTGTTACCTGTTTTTCCAGACTCAATTAAATGAAAATCTTAAAATCCTTCCTTATCATTACTGGATATGCTTTTCTCCCTCTATTGAGTCCTCAAGAAACAATATTTTTTCTCATCATAATTTATAATTACTTGTATACTTTTGATTCAATCTCAAACCAAAAGTTTAATTAAACACCGACCATTAAATAAAAACTATTTAATTAAACTTTTGGTTTGAGATTGAATCAAAAGTATACAAGTAATTATAAATTATGATGAGAAAAAATATTGTTTCTTGAGGACTCAATAGAGGGAGAAAAGCATATTTAATGAACACTATTTCAATTGCAAAATAAAGAGAATAAAACCTATGTCCTCTTAAGCAGATATCCTAAATAACTAAGGACTTGAACACAGGATGTCTTAATTATATTTTTGTGTGTGGCACACTGAGTTGCATGGTAGGTATTTAATATTTGTTAGATTAAATCCGTTACCCTAATACTTCGTAATCATTCCAAAAGATTACAAAATTTTTGTATTAGGAAATTATTTTTAAGAATTTTAAATGTAACTTTGTTTACCAGCTTAATATTGCAAAACTCTTAATATAAAGCAAAGGCCATCAAGACACAGCTAAACATTTATAAATCAGTTTCCCCATTCTTACCCCCATGAGCACAGGACTAGTAATTCTTTCCATATTCCCAGATGCTCCAGGTGAATGAGGGGATGCCATGATGGGAGACATATGTCCAGAGACTGATGGTTCTACCTCAGAATCAGCCAGTGGAATCTGGGGCGACCCAGGTGGGCGTCCCTGAACAGTAAGAGCTACAAAGGAACCAGCTTGGGTGGAAAGAGGAAAAAAAGGGAAGAGGAAAAAAATAACAATGTCAAAATATGTATCACGGTATTTTACTGCATTTTAACAGTTCCAAGAGATCCAGTTATGTCAAAACTGCCAACCATTTCTCCAAAGAACAGGGACTCAAATTGTCATTTCTTTTTTACAACATCCTAAAAACTTAAAAGAACAATGCCTACTTCACATAGCAAATCACTACTCATAAGATCAAATATTATTTAAAAGAAAATTTTTAAAAAGTATTCTTTTAATTTAGAGAAGTCGATTAATATTATGCTCAATTAACTTCTTAAATTTTAAAAACTGTATTTTAACAGAATACTAATTAGAAAAACCTCCTGGAATATAATGATTCCATTTAGAGTTAACTTTATAGAATGAGTATGACCAAAGACTATACTTTCAGGGATCATTACTATAGTGCATTACAAAATGAGTATGACCAAAACACTTCACAAATAAAGGGGGGGGAAAAACCACAATAGTATGTTTTAATTTTAAAAATTTAAAGGAGAGGATAGAAAGGGGAAAAAAAACTATAGAAAGCAAAGATAAACAAACCCAGATGATTGATCAACAGACATTCATTATTTAGCTGGATCAAGAAATAAAACTTTGCAAATAACTGCCATTTCTATATAATTGATCTATAAATAACAACACAAAGACTTTTCAGTAGAACTTTTAAATGTATTTCATACTTTTCTCCTAATTTATTCCTTCCCTGGAACTAACTGCTAGTTATTTCATTGGCTTGGTCCTAAAAATCACTTTTCTTATAATTAATGGAGATACCAGCTACAATTTGGGATATCATAAATGTATATAGTTTTTAAACTTTTAAATTTCACTTCTCTCTGTCAGAAAGCCATTTACTATTACTGACCCATATACTTGCCTCTAATTATGTCCTAGTTCTTCCTCTCTTTAGCTGTTTTAAATTATCTTGATTTGAAATCACTTTTATTATGTCTACAATATGCATTAAAAATAGGACACGAGGGTGCTCTATTACAAGTACACAAATTTGGGGGAACATTTACTTGTTTGGGTACTCAGAGTATTTTATGCTTACTTTAAGTTTTTAGTTATGTTCTCACTACTCTATTGTTATAGTCCTAGGATCCAATTCTCCAAGTAAAATTTATATTGGAAAGAGTAAATACATAACTTAAGAAACTAAAGATACAACCTTACTTTTTGTACTCTGCAATAGTTACCAGGCATATATTTATTATCATAAATCATGTTTACATAGCAAATAAAAATTTATAAACCACAACTTCTTTAAAAAAGTAATCAAATGTATTCAAATCGAGGGATCAAATTTAATTTACTGCATTTCTTTTTTAAATGAACTGAAGTTAAGAACTATGACTGAAATGACAATGATATGCTGATGAACAATAAAGGAATTCACATGTTGCTTTCCTTAAACAATAAGCAGGAATTTAATTCATTGAATTTATTCTAAAGATATCCATATATGAAAAGAAATATGATTCAATAAAATGGTACTGTTTCTATTTGGTCACAAACAACTGTCTCTTATTTGTAGTTTACTGTGGAATTTCTAATACAGAAGATCATGAATTTTAATCCTGGAGACTTCCAAGAGAAGATCATTAACTGTATTAATCCTTCTCTTATCTAAGAGAAAGTGACTATGCTACATAATATTTAAAATTCCAGTTAGCTTACTTAGGCCTTTATGTTTGACTTCCCTCTCAGATGACTACCTCATTTTTTCAAATATATGCTACCAAATTACTAACAAAGACAAGGATATTACAAACAACCACATATAAGAAGTTGATTAAATACATTAATTAGTTATTAAAATTTTCACCTCAGACTTTGTAATTTAGTGGTTGGCAAACCCAAGCCAAGGGACTAAATAGAATCCATAAATGATTTTGGCAAATAAAGATTTATTGAAATTGCCATGCACATTCATTACATATCACCTATGGCTGCTTTTCTGCTGTACTGACAGAGTCAAGTAGTAGAAAAAGTACCAAAAATCTAAAATATTAATTATCTGCCTATTACAGAATATGTTTCTAAAACTTGCTTTAAAGATTTTAGAAAAAAACTAAAATTGAGAATAACATTCACCTACATTTGATTAGCTCCACCACCTGGAAATGGTTTGAATGAGTCACCAGAGTTCCATTCACCTGTAAGAAAATGACAATAATATATGCCAAGTACTTTCTAGTAAGAAATGGATGAATTAGCTTCAAGAGTTATACATAATACAACTAATCATGCTACCCATAAAAACACTCAACCGGACAATATTTATAAGGTATAGAAAAAACAGACCTTTAATCACAAGACATTATAATTTGTTCACCAGGACAAATGACAAAACATAACAAGCAGATTTATAAATTCTTCACAGTGAAGGACACTTGGCAAATAGAAAAGATGATTAGTTTCTAATTACAAAATTTGCTGGTATGTCAAACTGTAAATTTTTTTTTAAAGATTTATTTATTTGTGCATACAGAACTGGGGTACAGGCCAGAGGCTCAGGGGCGGCGAGAGGCTTCCCAGAGACAGAGTGGGGAGCAGAACAGGCAGATCGACGAAGTACACTGCTGAGGGAGCAGAAGGCGGGTCAGGAGAGGTCTGCCACGCCCTGTGGTCACCTCCGGGGCAGGTGGGAATAGAACTCATGTGAAAGTGGCTTTAGCTTCTTAATGCTGTGCTTTAACCCACTGTGCCACAAGGGAGGGCCAAAACTGTAAATTTTTTAAAAGGTGAAAAACTACTGTGGAAATCTGTAATGTCCAATTTACTCTTTGTTTTCAGTCATGACCTTTTACAAGGGACATTAATTTTCTGACAGATTAAATGTAGGTTATGTTATCCCAAAACTCCACTTTGCCAAATAAATTAAGATAAAAATATTAAACTCAGATCTAACACTATATATAATATACATATAATACTATATATATATACACACTATATATATATATATTTCTCTGATGCAAGTAACACTAATTAATTCCTAAAAGCTTAAGTATATAAATGCATAAAGTAACAGTATTCTCAGCATACCTACGAGATAATTAGTGTAAGCAATGATGGTTAGCATCTCTGATATACTATTTTAGCATATACACACCCATCCAGTTCAAGTATTATTTCTACCTGCAAACAAGTAATTTATTATTGTATTATATACAACTTTCAATATAGGAAAAGAAAGACCTAACCCATTCTTTTTAAAAGCTGCTCATATAAAGGGCTGCCCTGGTGGCACAGGGATTAAAGATAGCCCCATTGAACTATCACCAGCCACTGCAAACATGAGTTTGATTCCCCTGGCCAGCCAGGGAGCTGACCCACATGGTGCAGCAGACCTCTTCTGCCTCGCCTGCTGCTCCCTGCAGCAGTGTTTCAGGAGATCTGCCTGATCTCCTGCTTTCTCTGGTGCTTTCTCCGGTGAATCATCTCACCTCCTATACTTCTGGCTTACATACCAGTTCTTACATGCATAAATAAATAAATCTTTAAGAAAAAAGTTGCATATGAAATACAAGTTATTTCTCTAGCCTTCAGTTTATACACATTTAGATTGCTTGTAAGTTCTCAAAGGTTAAAGCTGAAATGAATTTCTCTGTATACATGTTACTTCACTTTTACACCCATTTAGTTATATAAATTAATTCTAAAAGCAAAAAGGTTATATACCTTTAAGTATATAACTTTTGATACATATTCACAAATTTCCATCCAAACAGGTTTAGACAAGTAGATTTTACATAATTAATACTTACAAAATTATTAAGTTATTTTACCATATCCAAATTATGTCATGTGTATTATAAACAACTTAAAATTTTTGACAACCAAATATATTTTCACCTATCATTTAACCTGATAAAATTCTTTACCCATCTTTCTACTAGGCTATTTTTAGTACTTTAGAAGTGTTAAGGATATCATACTTTGTGTAGTAAGTTTCAAATATTTTTTCCAATTGTTCTTTACTTGTAAAATAGGTTCATGGTTCTTTTCCTGTACAGCAATTTGATTTTGAGTAATCAAATTATTCAGCTCTCAACAGTAATTACTACCTAAGCTTTTCTTCCACTCCTTAATTGTGTTCCACTGAGAACATATCTAGACTAGAGTCACTTGCTTAAAATTAATTGACACCATCTCACCTCATACATATCCATACACATAACACACATTTACTCTAGCTATTCCTATACTTTTGTAAAGTTTAGTTGGAAGATTAACTTTGACAAGTAACAACTATTTCTCTAGCTCTGTTAGTATATTTTGAAGAGTATTTTTGCTAAAAGATTAATCTGAGAGAAATGATCTTTACAAGTTATTCTATCAAAGGACAAAGATGACTTCACTCATTCACATATCAATTACTATGCCCTTCAAGTAAAGGGTAATATTAAACTTTAAATATATGAAATAAGTTTTTACAGTTAACAAGTTCATCATATATAATGCATGTTTCATAACACTCCCAAGTTAAAAAAAAAAAAAAAAACCCAAAATAATTAATACATGCAGTCTTTAAATTCTACCAGAAATTCTGTAACAGCCTTTCTTACCTTGATGATCCGATCACCTGTCTGGACTCCAGCCCGCATGGCTGCCCCATCTGTAAGTGAAAGTAATTACTTAAAATGCAAGTCCTCTGCATTCAGGGAGAACCTTTTTAAAAGACAGGCACTGTAACAGAATGGTTTAAAACATGGGCTGTAAAGTCAGACTTTGGTTCTACTCCTGCTTCTATCACTTGTTATTTTGTGACCTCAAGCTGATAGCTTTTTTTCCCCCCTGCAAGCCTCAACATCAACTACAAAATGGTGATAAAATTTCTATCTTAAACTGCAGCATCCAATATAAAGGAAATATTCAATATATAGTAATAGAAGATATTACTGATGTTTTGGAGGAAATATCTCTGGTGTCTTGAAGAAATAAAATTCCACAAACTTTCTAAGTGATGATGCAGAACGTATCATGGCCAATGAGTCATGATTTCTAAAAATTATTTAGTTTGTAGAGTTCAAAGAAAACCAACTAGGGCAAATACATTCCTATAATTATGACACTAGAAATCTGGTTCAACAAGCCATATGACACATATGACTGATGTGACTATTTTATTCTTACACTAGACATTTAAGTTTTTCCATGTCTCTGCTTGCTTCTAAATGACAACTGTTTTTTAAAATGCCTTGCCTTCTTTGACAGACTGTACGAAAACTGGATTGTCTCCACTGACCGTCAGCCCAAATCCATTGTCATCCTTCTGGATGATTACACAACGCTGAACAAGACCTGCACAAGAGCAACAGAGTAAAGAGAGAAGAAAGAGAAAACAAAGAGAGAGAAAAAAAAAGTCAATTACATATTAATAATGGGTTGTATTCTTTATGGAGAATCACAAGGTGGCACATGAAAGCATATATAAAATAAGAATACTAACCCCATCAACAAAACAAACACAAGAACACTATTAAGAATTTGCATATATATAATTATAGGCACTGTATATTATGTATAATATATCAAACACTTAATAGTGTTTTATATATACATACATACATGTATGTATGTATGTGTATATGAGATATATATATATATATCACATATACATATATATGCACACGTTGGTTTCTCACTGGAAAGGTTGGTAGAATTGTTCTAAGATTAAAAAGAGCTGTGAACTGGAAAAGATCAAGTATTAGAAGAAAATTAGAAACTAAGTCCATTCACATCTATGCTGTTTCTTTGCTAATAAAATCCTCCCCTGCAGTCCTGTGTTTTGGTGTTCTAATTGGTATTTAGCCCCCGCCCCCCAATCAAATATTTTGGACATTAGGCTAGGAATGTTATCCCTAAAGGTAAGCTCTGAGAAACAAAGAAAGAGGTGTTGCAGGGCACCTCCCAAGTGGGAAAAAGGGAATATTCAAAAGGAAGGAAGACTGATTCAGAGAAGACACAAACAGAAATTAGAAAAAAGTAGAAAAGACAAAGAAAGAAACCATGTGCTCAACCAGTTCTTTCACCTTTTCCATATACTTACGTGATTCCTACAGGAGAATTTTCTTTCATTCCAGTTAAATAGCAAATGAAAATTGTCTAGGCAAGGTGAGAGAAAGGACCACAACCGAAGGGGTGGGAATGACCCATAACAGCACTGCGATTAGTACCGAGGACTGCTTTATCATGGATCAGATCTGAAGATCCTGACTGCCTCAGCCAAAAACTGTACTTTCAGCTTTGTTGAATCTAAGCATTTCACCAAATGTCAATACATAAGACATATAAAATAATACAAGTGTAGTAGAGAATTTAGAAATTAAAACCTCAAGTTAAAGATTTTTATACACAGAGCCATGGTCTTCCAAGTGTGATGTACAAAGCAAAGGATATGTTAAAGGATGCACATATATATGTATATACATATATATTTCCTACTGTTAATGAAATATAAACCTTGAAGCTTAACTCATAACCCTACACAAACATTAACTTGAAAATCTTCTAATATACTAATAGGAAGAGAAAAAGGCAAGCCACAGGCTGGGGGAAAAAAAATTCACAATACAAATAACTAGCATCCAGATTACACTAAGAAAAAAAAAAAAAACTCTACAATTCAACAATGAAAGCATTTTAAAAGGGACAAAACAGTTGAATAAACAAATCACCAAAAAAGAATGAGCCAATAAGCACATGCAAACACAAAGATGCTTAATATCTGCAGTCATCAGGAAAATGCAAATTAAAACCACAAAATACTATTGTGCACTAACTAGAGTGACTAAAATTAAAAAGACTGCTATCAAGCATTATCAAGGATGTGGAGTAACTGAAACTTGCATATAACAAGGAGAGAGTAAAGGGCAGAAATACTTTGGAAACCAGTTTAAAATTTTCTTCTAAATGCAGAAATATTTTACATATGATGCAACAATTCACTCACAAGAGAAATGAAAAACTCATGCTCACATAAAAACTAGTACACAGGCCCTCCCTGGTGGCACAGCAGGTTAAAGCGCAGCACAAAGAAGCTTAAGCCACTTCTGCATGAGTTCGATCCCTGCCTGCCCCGGAGGAGATCCACATGGCGCGGCAGACCTCTCCTGACCTGCCCTCTGCTCCCCTCAGCAGTGTACTTCGTCGATCTGCCTGTTCTGCTCCCCACTCTATCTCTAGTGAAGCCTCTCGCCACCCCTTGGTCTCTGGCCTGTACCCCAGTTCTGTATGTGCAAATAAAAATAAAT